TGTTAATTGGGTTGAACCATTAGTCATGTCATGCTATAAATATGTAGTTGTGCAAACAATAATATCCTACTAATCCTTGGTGAAGAATAAACTGAAATCATAATTTTAATTCTTCATTTTATTACATGAAGTATGTTGTTTTTGAATAAAAAAAAGAACTGTGGATGTCGCATTTAATAGGATTACTGCCATACATGTCTTCCAAATTATCGCAAGAGAAGAAGAATATCTTAATAATATCAGAATTTATCATTTTGTCTATTATTTGTGTTAATTCAGAGATGGCGCTGCCATCGCATTGCTTTTAGGAATTACCTCCATCTTAAAAAGAGTTATTCATATTCTAACCGACAACGAGTAAGGATGTCCAGCTTAAGATCATCTGTTTATGTTTTATTTTCCTAATTTTTAATAAATGTTATTAAGTTTAACTTTGGAATTAAAACGCTGAAAATTTGAACTTAAAAAATGCAGAGTGGAAAATGGAAACTACGCGGAAGATTTTGTGAACGAATTGTTGAATTCACCTACAGAAGAAAGAAAACGTAATTTAGAAATTCAAGAGCAAAAACGTGAGGATGAATTAGAAGAAAATAGACGAAAAGAAGAAGCTGAAATGGAAGACGAAGAGAGAAAACGAACCCAAGAAATAAATTTTGAATTTGAAAAATTGCGTCTACAAAATGAATCAAAAAGTATTGAAAACGGAAGGAGTGGAAATGATCTTCGGATAAAACCGAAACTGGAACTTCATAATATTCTACAAAAGTTCGATCCGAAAGCTTATACCTGGTATTTTTCGAGAGACAAGAGAAACGAGTAGGAATAAAAAAAGAACTGTAGGTATCGATAACAGATGATTACAGAGAAACAACAGATGATTACAGTAAAATAAAAGAGCTCTTGTTAAAAAGATTCAAAATGATGACCGAGAAATTCAGATAGTTTTTCATAAGACATTAAAAAAAAACAGAGACGCGTTGGTTTGATTTTGCTTACACGTAGTATTATTTACTTACACGTAGTATTATGCAGAGTAATTATTTCAACGAATGGATAATAGGATTAGAAATAACAACATCCGAACAACTTTTGTGATTTAATGATTACGGTCCAAATTAAAAGAAAAGTCCCTTTGGAAGTTAAAGAACATTTTATTGATGTGTGGAGCAATTTGTAAATTACGAATGATTTATCCAGTAAATTAAATTATTACGTAAATGTTAGAATGAATATGAAAACAGAACTGAAAGATTTCCACAAAGAAAATTTCAAACAACCAAATTTCAAACGAGGAGAACAGAGAATTCAAATAGAATCGAAATTTATCCTCCCATATGCTAGACAACAGAAATTTAGAAGCTTTAAAAAAGAGGAAAATTCAACAAGAAGCATTACAAGAGATTGTTATATTTGTGATGAATCCCATTTTGCAAGAGAATGCTCAAAACGATTCAATAAAACACCTGATAATTCGAAGAAAAACGAAGTTTTAACAGCCAAGATCTGCTTTGAGTTATTAGACGGAAATTCGAACTTCGAAATTAATCCTCTACAATTCATTGATGTTCTAGTTGACAACAAATCATCAAAAGCTTTGACAGACAGTGGATTTCAAATTCCAGTGATGCATCTGAATTTAGTAGCAGAAAAGTGTAGAATTATTCTTAGTAACGCATTCGGAGAACGGATTGGAGCCGACCTCGTAAGCTTTCAAATAGCCTTGAAAGAAAAAAGAAAATACGATGTTTTCGGAGTCAGTCGAAGTTCTCGCTGGAGTATCAGATAGAACCCTCCCAGCGTTTTGAATTTAATTGAAAATAATGAAGTCGTTACCATGACAACCAAGGCTGAACAAAACAAAACAAAAATACGAAGTAAAAAAAAGGAACGCCTACATTTCGAAGGAGGCATACGGTATGGTCAAATTGGTGAAGACGTCATGTTTAAAGGCGGAACTTGTGACTCAGAAGTAATATTGAATAGGAAGTATCACGATTTAAGGAAGAACAACGAAAATGCACGCCCCTGACAGATGTCTGGCGTTATAAGAAAATAAAGAATAACGTTTATTTGTTAGTTGATGGAATTGTAAGACCAAACCTACCATTTGAAGTTGTTAATGTGGACATTATAGGAGCTATATTATAGAACAACCTTAGACTTACTTAAGGGTTATTATGCAATCTCAATGGAGCAATAAAGTAAAGAGTACAATACCGATTATCTATACCGACAATACCGATCTTTCAAAACACATGGAGCACAATACCGATTAAAAATTATGCCATTTGATTTGAAAAATGCTGCAGCTACTTTCCAGAGAGTAATCAAAAATGCCATAAAATAATTTAAAGAATTCTCTAGAGCTTACTTAGATGACATCGCTATATTTTCTCCTAACTTTTCAACTCATTTACAACATCTCCAGAATTTCTCCCAGAAAGTAGTTACCAAACTGGAAAATCTCGGATTTATTGTAAATTCCAAAAAGAGCTCCTTCGCCAAAACTCAAATTAAGTACCTTGGACTTATCATTGAATCTAGAAAACATCAAGTTGATACCGAGAAAGTTAAAGCCATCCGTAGTCTTGAAAACCCTACAACGAAAACACAACTAAGAAGCCTGCTAGGTTTGTCTACCGAGATTATATCCCTTGCTACACTCATACAGCTCCCAAAGAAAGGAGCACCTGAAGAGCTGGAACATTGGAATGAAACACATGAGAAAGCATTTATTGAGCTCAAAGAAAAATTAAGTTAAACACCTGAGCTATATACACCGACAAAGGACTTGCCATTCATAATCCATTCTGATGCTTCTAAAATCGGTATCAGAGCATGATTAGCTCAACAGAGTGGTGAGAATATCCCATTTGTTATACAAGGCGGAAGCTTTTCTCAACTCAGCAATGCTGGCCAACAGTAGAAAAAGAAGCTTATTACCATTGTTTTTGGGCTCTAAAGAAATTTAAACATCGGGTATTTGGTACAACCATCAAAGTGATTACCGATCATAACCCCTTCGCTTTTGTAGTGAAAAATGCACCGCAATCATCAAAATTACAGCGTTGGACAATTGCTTTTCAAAAATATAATATCCAAGTCATTAACTGTCCAGGATCAAAATTAATTAATGCATTAGGTGGATTGTTTACTTCATAAACAATGTGTTTAATTATGGATTAATTCTTTTTTTCCTGTATGTTTGAAGGCAAATACTTCATTCATTAATCATTAATAGACTATAAAAGAAGTGCTTAAATGTTCAGTTATAAGTAATTAAGCATGCTATGAGATTACTTAATTTTCAACTTTCTATTTTTCCTGCTAATAATTTTTATTTTTGTAAATGATTATAAATGTTGAGGATTGTTTGTTAAAAATATTTCTGAATAATTTAAACCTTTTTTTGATTTATGAATTATGTTATTTCCTTAGAATATATATAATGGTGCAGCTATTTTTGTGAATAATTTTAATAATTTTGGTGAAAAATAATTTTGAATTTTAATTCTTTGATATTTCTTAACTTGATTTTACGGAATCTTAATAGTTTAGATCAGTGGTTCTCGTACTTTTTTGTCTCGTAGACCCCTTGCCATGCTTTTCGGTTTTGGGTTAATTCTTCAACTTCAAATGTATTTTTGAAAGCTGGTATAGTGCTACTCACTGTGAAAGATTTAAATTTCTAACTGTAGTATAGCATGAAAAACTTAAGAAAAAAACACAGGTTAATTTTATACATTTATTAATTAAATTCAAATTAATTTACAGCGAAAGCCTATTTATCGCGGAAAAATACTTTTTTGTTACAAAATAAAACCTGATACGCAGAGAAAATAAAAACGTAAGCTGGCGGAGCTGCAGGCAACTGCTAGTTTATAATAATTGTTTCATATCTCAGAAAATAATCCTAATAACTTAAGTTTTAAGAAATTTTTTACTTCAGAGCTACTTTTATAAATTAAGTAGAATGTAGATAGATGTATGTCTTTATAAGGTAGTATAATGTAAGTAAATAGGTACTATCAGTGTTATGTTGATTATTCCATTTATGAAATGCCAAAATAAAAGTAACGACCTGCTTATATGAGATCCACTACCGTTGACCCCCATTTTCATTTCATGGACCCCTTGCAGGTTGTCGTCTACCCCTAGGGGTTGATATGGACCATTTTGGGAATCACTGGTTTAGATCAAGTAATTAAATTTCGAAGCTTTTGTTAAGTAGCAAATATGTTTAGGGTAATTCATGGAGTTTTTATTTTATGTGGTTAAGTGTTTTATATGTTTATATCTTTATTATTGTGCAAATTTGTGTTTATTATGCTAAATTCTAATTTTCAATGTCACTTTCGTTTTTTAGTTTTATTTAAAACCCAAACCCATAGCTTGGGGGAAGGATACAATATCAGAATTTATCATTTCGTCTATTATTTGTGTTAGTTCAGAGATGGCGCTGCTATCATATTGCTTTTGGAAATAACCTCCTTCCTAAAGGGAGTTATTTTTATTCTAACCGTAAACGAGTTTTCCTAATTTTTAATAAATGTTAAAATATTTATTAAAGTTTATTCAATAAGTCCATATTTAACGAACCGTTTTTACTACAATATTAATTTTATTTCAGTAAAATTATTAAGGCCCCCTAATGAGTATTTGTCGTCCAAAGCTTCGTTTTTCTTAATCGAGCCCTGATGATTTTTATAACTAAATTTTACTAGTTTTATGTTGTTTCCCTAAATTGCTGCTGCAAATATGTTAAAAATTTTTGCATAAATATTCATGTACATAATTTTTTATCTGCATCTTGATACTATATAACAAAACATGGTAAAGATTTACGATGCAAATAATAAGATTTTTTTAATAAGAAATTTCTCAAGCATTTAAATATAGTTCTTTTAATCACTTCTTCACATTATTTAGGGAAATTTTTTAAATCAATAATATAATCTGTTATTAAACATCTTATGAAACAATGTCATATTTTGTAGGTAAGTAAAAAGGAGAAAAATAGGAAAGTAAAAACAGTCGATCAGCAAACACAAACAATAATCTCAAAAGTACCCACAAAAAGAGGTAAAAGAAAAAGTACCGGCAAACTTCAATCTAAAACACCTGAGAAGAAGTCAATGACTAAGAAAAACATACCAGTTCAAAATGGTAACAAAAAAATTTTTTAAAAAAACTTAATAGAATCATGATTTTTTATTTTATTATAATTTTATATCATTAGAATCATAAATAAAGTTTCATAAATTTTTATTTCACTTAAAAACTTTACGTGTTTAAGTATTTTACTTCTTTACAGATGATGTTTCTTCATCCACCAAGCCACTTCCTCCGTGCCAAAGTCTGTTACAAAACTTTCCTTGTACATCAACTTCTCTTCCAGCAACAAACTTAGGTTAAACATTTTTATGGTTATTTATTGAGTATTTTTACTTTTTATTACATTCATTGTTTAATTTACTATTCATTTTGAAGTGCTAAATGTCAGTGCTAGGAATTTTCAATTCCTAGAAGTTTATTTTATAAAAAATAAATGTAGTTTGAACGAAAAATTTTAATAAAAGTTTTATTGATTTTTATAATTTCTCGAAATTTTATTAGCAAAAATTGAAAAAACTACTAAATAACTTGAAGATTTTTCTGGAAATATAGTCAAACTATTTATATTATGAAGGGGGATTTCTTTTTATAAATTGTGATATTCGAATTTTTTAACTTGCTTTGCAAAATATTTTTTCATAATGTATGTTTTCATAAAATATATTGTTTCATTATGTTTTCATAAAACATACTTTGACTAAAATTAACTTACATTTTTGAAGCAATTTTTCTTAAGTAATATTTGATATACCGTAATATTTGCTCTAAAATTATTGAATTTCTGTAATTAAATAAATTTTTCTATAGTTTAAAATAAAAAATATATAATGAAATAAATATATAATAAATTTGAATTTCTAAATGGTTCATTATCAATTCCTAGAAGTTTATTTTATAAAAAATAAATGTAGTTTAAACGAAAAATTTTAATAAAAGTTTTATTGATTTTTATAATTTTTCGAAATTTTATTTTCAAAAATTGGAAATTTTTACTAAATAACTTGAAGATTTTTCTTGAAATATAGTCAAACTATTTATATTATGAAGGGTGATTTTTTTCTCTTTAAATTGTGACATTCAAATTTTTTAACATGTTTTGCAAAATATTTTTTCACAATGTATGTTTTCATAAAATATATTGTTTCATTATGTTTTCATAAAACATACTTTGACAAAAAATTAACTTACATTTTTGAAGCAATTTTTCTTAAGGCATTGGAAAAAATACTTAGAAGCAAAATCGAAGGAGGCAGTTATGGATCTAATTTTTGTTTATTATTACGAACAACACTTATACAATTTTATAATCGAAATGGTGCCATGAAACCTTGTGAATGTCATTCGGAAAGATATACTAATGAAATTCCTTATTATAACTAGAAGGGTAAGAACAAAATGAGCAAAAACTGAATTTTTAGGATTGTTTAAAACTAAAAACATCAAGTGCATTATAAAAAATCCAGATCAAATAACGCTAAAAAGTACTGGCTCTCAAAGTGCCGGTACTTTTTACCGTGAAATTCATTTATACCGTGAAATTTTATGGGACAAAATATTTGATATACCGTTATATTTGCTCTAAAATTATTGAATTACTATAATTAAATACATTTTTCTATCATTTAAAATAAAAAAATTATAATAAAATAAAATTTTACAGTAAAGATAGATTTTACGGTAACCATGAGTTTTACGGTAAAATGGATTTTACGAATGCTATTTTCAAGGTGGCAGTACTTTTTACCGAAATTTGAACCGGGAAATTTGATTCGATTTTTAACATTTTGTGATCGGGTTAAGCTTTGATTGTTGCAAATTTCTTTATTAGAAAAGAGCTTGCATTTATGCTTAAGAAATAGCGATCCTTAGGTTATACTTTAATTTCTATTAAAATACTATATTAATATTAAAATTACTATTTAAACTATTTAAGTTAATTTATAATTAACTTAAATAGTTTTAACAATACTTTAAGTTAAAACATTTTTTTTTTCTTCTTTCAGACCATCAACTCGAGGTTTTTAGTCAACAAAATCTCAACCAAATCTCTCACAACATTAACACTGTATATGTTCAAACCTCAAACACTGAAATTATTCAGGAAGTGCCTTTATTTCATCCTACAAACACCATATCTGACTTGATGATACCTGATTCACCACAGCTGGAAGAATCGATATACAACCCAAAATATAACGAAGATATTTCACCTCTGTTCGAGCCAGGAAAACTTGAAAGCCAATCTCAAACGCTTTGCTCATCGCTAAGTTACCTTGAAAATCTGTCTGAAAATGAGCTGGAACAATCATGTGTACTGTTTACCGTCCAATTAGATTCGGTAAACACTTTGCCCGATGACTTTCTAGACTATGACGTAAACCTTTCGTAAGATTTTCAACCAATCAAATGAATGTATTTAACAACTTGACGCCGATTTTAATTCTTCGTGTAGTTTAAGCGACTTAAAACATATCATTTAGTGGTTTAGAATTTCTTTTTACTTTAACCCTTTCGCGACGCAAAGCGCGAAAGCGCGCTTACCGCTGAGGCCGGCAGTCTCTCTAGCGTGTGTCTCCCCAGGGTCGGAGGGTTTTTTGATGTTAAGCCTAATTCCATGAAATTACCGAAATATCAGCGCGTTGTTTAATATTGTTCCGTAGAGTATTTAAGTGACATACGCTTTATATATATTTCTATGGATACTTTATTTACTTAAGTTATTTCTTGTTTAAATGTAATATAAATATTAATAAGCTTAAATATTTTGCATAATTTCCTCTATTTCCAGCTCAGTTAAAAATTTTCGACGCTTCGACATTCTAACGGTAAAAAGAAAAAAAATTCAAGCCTACAAGATCTAATTATCCACTAAAAACTAATCCGAAAATCGAAAGTAGCGAGAGATAAAAAAAACTCCCTTACTTACTGTAAATAAATATCACGTGCTAATTTAAAGAGCCCTCATAAAACATTCCCCCCTCCCACTCCTTCCCCTAAAAACCACGTGAATGTACTTTCATCTTGAGTAGAAGGTCAAATCTACATGTATCTGAAACCATATGGACATACAATGCCATCTTTTGGAAGAAATTTCATTTTTTAAAACGTTCCGAAACGCTGGCACAAATAAGTGACGGTCGGGGATGAATGAGAAAACTCTCTGACACGCGGGTGTGTCGGCCGGGAAGTGAGCGCGTTTCTTGCTGTCACATATATGTGACAGTCGGCTCGAAAGGGTTAATAAAGGGTAGACAATATTTTGATATTTTTTAAAAAAATAACTGTTCATTCACATGGGTTTATGGCTCTTAAAATTAGTGAAAAATATAGGGGAAATTGGGTTAAAACCGAGAAGCTAAGATGCGAAAGCAGGAGAAACTGTTAAATTTTAACAAGATTTGTTATGCATTATTGCTTAGTTGTTATGTCGAATATAATTCATAGTCTGTTAGCTAGAAATAAGTACTCTAATTAGTACTTCTTTCTGGAATCGCTTTACCCTGTTTCATATCACAATCCGGTTTTCTCCACTTTCCTCTATATTAATTTATTCACTGTGTTATATGCTTTAAATTAAATTTGAAATAGTTTAAAAAATTGACATGAAACACAAGTATGGTTAGTGATAATAATTTATGACTTCTCCAAAAACCTCTAAAACCGACAGACTTTTAGCAATGTTTTAAATTTTTTTATAACGCCTTAATAACCGATTTGTAGTGCATATGTAAGCTACTAATAGCACATATTACTAACTAACAATTAAAACTATTACTAACAATCAAAATAAAAAACAATTCTTAAGTTAGTCGTTTTGACTAAAAGGATTGAATAGCATGAATATTTCAAAATTATGTTAAATTATCAAAAATTGTAATTTAAAAAGTTAAGATTCCAAGATTTACATTTTTTTCTAAAAGAATTAAATTTTATTAAGCTTAGCATGATCTATGAGGCAGTTGTAAAGAAAAATAAAAATATTTTATGCTAAAAATGAGTTTTATTTTAATTCAGGATATCTTGTGCCAACGTTTGTTTGCACCTAAGAATTATATGAAAAAACAAATGAATAAATAAATACTAATTCAATTTATTTACATTAAAGCTTTAAAAAAGGTATAATATTGTTCCTATTTATTGTGGCTTTTAATTGCTTATTGGTGTAAAGAAATTTAGGCTTGAATGAGATTGCTACAAGAGATCTAGTCTATGGCATTTTAAGGCACGAGGCATTCATAGTCCCCACAACACTTCATGAAACTAATCAGTTAAAAACATTTTTAGTTGACTCGTTTAATACCTCGTTTAGTAGTCTGTTAAGAACGTCGCAAAATTGATGAGCTTAGTATTTCGTTAGATTGCCAGTTAAAAACGTTGTCGTTAAGCAGTTAGTTTCAACACTTCATGTAACTAATCAGTTAAAAACATTTTTAGTTGATGCGTTTAATACTTCGTATGGTAGTCTGTTATTAACGTTGTAAAATTAATGAGCTTAATACTTCTTTAGATCGTCAGTTAAAAACTTTGTCGTTAAGTTAATAGGCTTAACACTTCGCTAAAGTAATCAGTTAAAAACATTTTTAGTTGACTCGTTTAGTACTTCGTTTAGTAGTCTGTTATGAACGTCGTAAAATTGATGAGCTTAATACTTCGTTATATCGTCAGTTAAAAACTTTGTTAAGTTAATAGGTTTAACACTTCATTAAACTAATCAGTTAAAATCATTTTAGGTCAATGCTTTTAATAATATGTTTAGTTGTCTATTAAGAACGTCGTAAAATTGATGAGTTTAATACTTCGTTAGATCGTCAGTTAAAAACTTTGACGCTAAGTTAATAGGTTTAACACTTCATTAAAGTAATCAGTTAAAAACATTTTAGGTTAATGCGTTCAATATTTCGTCTAGTAGTCTGTTATGAACGTCGTAAAATTTATGAGCTTAATTCTTCGTTAGATCGTCAGTTAAACACATTGTCGTTAAGTTGTTAATGTTGACACTTCATTAAAATAATCAGCTAAAAAAATTTTAAGTTGATGCGTTTAATACTTCGCTTAGTACATCTATTTAGTATATCTGTTAAGAATGTTGTAAAATTAATGAGCTTAATACTTCGTTAGATAGTAAGTTGAAGACGTTGTCGTTAATTTGTTTGTTTTAACACTTCATTAAAGTAATCAGTTAAAAACATTTTAAGTTAATCCGTTTAATATTTCGCTTAGTAGTTTGTTATGAACGCCGTAATATTTATGAGCTTAATACAGTGAATTCGCGATAACTCGAATCTGATAGGACTGATGAAAAACTTCGACATATCGGAAGTTCGACTTACCGTTAGTTTCGGGTTTGGACTTTCAAAATATTGTCGCATTATTTAATTAATGATTATTAATTACAAATCTTCTAAATGCTTACAATATTTAAGATCATTTTTCTGACAAGCCATTTACGATAAGACTGTTTGAAGCACTTTATGATANTGTTTATGTGTTTTATGCATCATTATGTCGTCAGTTAAAATTGTGGTTAAGTTCATGTGATTAATGCTGCTCAACGTTCTTAGTTGAAAAATATTGCCAAATTTATGTTCTAAATGCAGAAATGCAAGAATTACGCACGCGTTTATATTAGTTTTACATAAATTTCATCCTTTATTCTTTTTAATTTTGTAATAACATTGTGAGTAATCCTTTTTTCCTAAATTTGAGACTTGAACCAACTTTGAATTTTATGTTGTACTATTCATTGTAAACATTGCATAATATATTCATTGTATATAATTCATTGTATTATTCCTTGTTATGTTGCTTCATTTTTACAAAATTTTGTTATAGATTGTTTAAATCAAATACTTTTTGTTGTTGATCAGAAAACATTATGTAATATGCTTCAATTTTTGATTAAAAGTGTACAAAGTAAAAATAAATCTGTTTAATTTACGAAAAAAAAAAAACCCACCAGCTATTGAGTCAGCATAAAACCGCATATTTCACCGGAGACACTGTTATTTAAAAACGGACACCTGCTTTTTAAGCAGGTTAGTGCTGTTATTTTGACAAACTTTATTATTTTAACAAACTAACTTTTTATTTTAACAAAAATAAACTATATTTTTAGTAAAAAAAAACAAGAAAACATATGTTATTTTAACAAAAAAATATTCCATGAAATAACGATGTCAGTATTAGAGTTGGCGCGAGTCGAGAGCAGAATTCATATGACCATTCAAGGTGGGACTCGAACCTGTGTCACTCCATCGTAAGGTGAGCACTTTGTCCCCTGAGTCATCGAAACGCTAGCGTTTCGTTATGAGGAAATTTCCTCAACCATCTTCATCTTTAAATTATTACTTATTGTAATCATATTTAAGTGTAAAAACGTTCAAAACTATAATGGTCTACCCTTTTAAGAAGTTTGGCACTTTTACTTACCAAAAAATTGTCTTTGAAAATGGATAATAATCAAGTAGGATGTCATTTTGTTAATTAAGTCAAGTCGCAATTTTATTTATGTGATACTCAAAACCATTAAATAATTTCTGAAAAGTAACAGCAAGTGCAGGAAATAATGATTTGAAACAAGGTAAAGTTGCCTTACTGTAACGCAAACTGCATGGCAAGAACTATAATGAACAGACTGTTTTCATCTAAGTCTCTAAATCACTATTGATGCACTGTTTAATTTGCTCAACTCAAACTTTAAATATGAATTTTTCAGAAAATTGTTCAATAATGCTCCATAATAAACATTCGAACAATTTTTAAAAATTTAATAACTTTTTTAATTATTTAGAAAGTTTCCAATTTTAGTTTTATGAGACAAAAAGAAAAACCTAAAAGTATCTAATGCAGAGTTTAATTTACACATTACAAGTTCTAAATACGGAAAAAATTGATTTTTGATTGAATTTTTAATTTGCTCAACCCAAACTTTGAATATGAAAAATATTAATTTTTCAGAAAATCGTTCAGTAATGCTCCATAATAAATATTCGAAAATTTTTTTAAAAATTTAATAACTTTTTTAATTATTTAGAAAGTTTCTAATTTTAGTTTTATGAGACAAAAAAAACCTAAAAGTATCTAATGCAGAGTTTAATTTACACACTACAAGTTCTAAATATAGAAAAAAATTGATTTTTCACTGAATTGTGCAAATGTACTCCTCTCGCAATTAATTTATAATTTAAATTTAAATGAAAGATGGTAAACAATGAAAAGAAATACGAAACTAAAATGAAAGGAGTTTTCTGAAGTAATATTCTGATTATACTTAACTGTTCAGTTGAAATTCCTAGCTACTTAAAACTAAAGACTTCGCGTACACTAAGTAATACTTATTTAAAATATACAATAAAGAAAAAAGGTTTATTAAATTATTGAAGTGAATAGAACAATAAGAAAATATGGCAGTTTATTTAACATGAGCTTTATCTACAGACACAATTGTTGACAAGCACAAAAAATCAACTTTAAAAATAAGTAAAACTTAGTCTAAAATCTTTCACAATTAGATATTTATAGCACCATGTATTAACGTCAATGAGATTAACATTGCCAAACAAGCAGTTCTCAAAAAATAGAAAGTGAACACTCACTTTAAAGTGCGTTAATTTCTTTTTAAATGCATTGGTATTACCTTAAAAGGACTAGAACAAAAACACAAATACAAATGCAGAACCAGAGAATTATCAAGAACACAATGCTTCAAGAAATATATTAATGCTTCTTAAAACTTTAATGGTAATATGGTTAAAGATTTTCGTCAATCCCTGATGAAAATTATTCTTTTGTTATTGAACTTCGTGGTTTATTGATATCAAAATTATAATCAAACATTTCCAACATAAATCGTTTGTCCCAAAAACATAAAAATTTGTTCTCTCTGGATTGCTGGCAGTCAAAATCATGAAAATTCGTCAGAAAGAAAAGTTAAAAAATGATCTGTTCACAATAAAGAAAAGCACACATTTTTTAAAAAAGTGGTTGAAAATTTTAAATCCACTTATTGAAAGAAGAGCTTGTTTTGTTGCAATTGCAGGATGCTACTGGTTGCTATGTTTCTGTGCTGGTTTTGAAATTCCAGGCTAATTTCATAATGATAGCAAATTTTCGTGGCATGTTGTCTTCAAAATTGCATTCAAACAATTACACCAAAAGAGATTTGCCCCAGAAACATAATAGTTTGCTCTTTCAGGACTGCTGGCAGTCAAAAATATTTTTAAAAAAATCGCCAGGAACGAAAATTAAAGGACGCTTTTATCAATAATCAAATTTTAAAATAAACTCCTTAACTTAAAAAGCTTGGCATCGTAAAATTTTATCCAGTCAATTGCACAAGTTGAACAGATAGTTCATTTTAGCCCGGTTTTGGTAAATTCTTTACACATTGCAAAATTTCTGACGAATTTCATATTTGTTTATAAGTGTCAGTTGAAAGAATATCATGTTATGTTAGTGTTCTTCACACAAACATTACACCTGCTCACTCTCGTACGCAGATCATTTGCCTTAAGGGTAACGCTAGCTGGTCTTTCGAATTGTTCATCATCTTCGATGCTAGTTAGCCAGAAACTGTACTTGCTAGCATAGTAATGGCATGTTCCTTTAGCACCATTGCATTCGATGAATGGAGTTGCTCTAAAATCTTCTAGGCAGCTTCCTGGACTGGAGAGTGATTGTCCACCACCTTCAGCTCCCGCTGCAGTGTGCTGCAAACAAATATTTATTGAAATTAGATAACAGAAGTACTTTATTGGAATTGGATAACAGAAATGTTTTATTAGAATATATTTTAAAAAAAGCCATACATTTTTTAAAAGTATACATTTTTAACCAGAATATCCCATACATTCGTATCCTATACATTCGTGTATTTTTACCACGTTTATATCAACTTGCCTTCGTGTATGTTTGTTCGGGTGAAATTTTGTAATCGATTTTAAACTAACTTCCCGACTAGCTAAAGACTTCAAATTTGGCACATAGTTCAGAATTGGATGACAATGCATGAAAATGAAGAGAAAGAAGACATACAAAGTAAAGTAAAATTAAAATTAAAGAAAAATTAATATTTTCGCGATTGTCTTTTGTTGTCGATTCGATTATTTCAAATTAGTGTCACATGTCAGTTGAAAAGTTTTGTGAACAGTGAGTGAAAAAATCGAGATTTTGGAAGAGAGTTCAAAAAAAATTAATAATATTTTAAAAAACCACGTTTTTTTAGTGGAGAATTAATAATTAAAAAACAAAAATTTGAAAAACTAAAAACGTGGGGAGCATGAAATACATAACAGCACATATACACATACATATACACATTTTCTTACTCATGCACAACCATGTACATATCCACATTCAGATAAATTACAGGTATACATACACATATTCTTATGAGCACACATACTGTTACTGTTATGCATTTCATGCTCCCCACATTTTTCGTTTTCAAATTTTTGTTTTTTAATTATTATACTACAAAAACGTGGTTTTTAAAAATATTATTTTTTTTAAAAGTATACATTTTAAAAAGTATACGAGAATGAATAGGTTATGGTTAAAAAAAAAGTCTGGTTATTATTAATAATAACCACGTTTCCTAGTAAACGTGATAAATTAGGCTCATTAATCCCGTTTACCGGTTATTATTAATACCACTGCTCATATTATATACTGATAAAAGAAGTTTGGTCGGTGTTTGGCATAATTTATTGAAACCAAAACTCTAACGAAATTTAACGAATCAAAGTGAAATGCTGATTTTTACATACGTTTTAATTTGAAATAAAATTTTTAAAAATTCTTTTTTTTAAAAAATATTACCATATTTATTGATTAGTTATAATTTTAGAAATTTTATGTTCAGAAAATTTAACATAATTACAAAAGATTTAAGAAAACATTAGCTTATGGAATACAGCTAATATTAATAATCGCTGTTTATTATTTTTAGTAATCGGATTACAAAAGGGAAGTGAGTGCCATTCCCGGTTTACCCTACACTGATTTTTTTTAAGGTTAAGTGCCACTTCCAGATATACCATAGACTGATATTTTTATATGGTTAAATGTCAGTTTTCGGTATACTCTACACTTGCCTAGTATACACTACACTGTGGAGATTTTTTTAAGATAAAATATCTTAAAGACGAAAAATTAAAAAGAATTAAAAAAAAAACGTCTGGCACAAAGTGTCAAAGAGCAACGAGCACGAAGAGCGTGCGGCTGCATCCAAAGTAAACAAGCAACTGACATTGTCTATAATTCTTTTTCAACAAAAAATAAAGTTTTCTGATTAAACTCTTAGTGACTGCAATCGTCTTTCTTAATAGTGTGAAAATATTTGAGATCACAGTTGAATTTAAACTTAACATATAAAAGGCATTCACATAATTAATAATCCATGCCGAATGAACTGGTTAGTTTTATGCAACAGCAGTAAATTTCCTAATTCAGTTAAGTTCATGCTTAAAAGTTACAGATCATATAATTTCATAATTATGTGAGCGATTCCATACCATTGCAAAACTATATCCGATCCACAAAGAGTCCCATCCTCTTGGACAGTTAGGAATGGCCAAAGATTGACTGTGGACAGCGATGACGTTAGCTGGTGTCTCACAGACTACACATCGACTAATATGCTCTTGGATAACATTGTCGGACACAGGCATCATAGGTAGAGGTGCGTTTGTTGAAAGCCAGTATGACTTATCACTGCGTGTTGCATAGTTGCAAACGCTGTTAAAGTCGCAGAACAGGAATGGCATTGTACTGAATCTCTGCATGCATGATCCCGCAAAACCTGAAATTTAAATTTATTTAGTGTAGGGGAATTGGCGACAAATGTTTTCCTCATTCAGAGACAAAATTTAAAACTAAATTATGCAAGCAAAATTATAACTAAAACAAAGAATAATTTTAAACTAAATGTAGAATTAGTTTTTAATAGTTAAACTAAAACAATTAGTAAAGAAAAGTAGAGAAAAAATTCTTAATGTGAAATAACGATGCTATATAGAGTCTCTTATACTGTATGTCACGACCTGCAGCAGAGATCACCAAATATTTTCTTAAATTTTGATTTTTTTAAAACTTATTCGAGATCCGTGGTGGCGGAGGGGATAGAGCGTTAGCCTCCCGATGAGGTGGCACGGGTTCAAATCCAAGCGGTGACTGATTGGTACGAATTCTGCTCCTGGTACGAATTGGTACGAATTCTGCTCCATAATATCTTCAGTATATATCTTCAGTGTATATCTTCAGCATAATATCTTCACTGATCATGGGTTATAGTCCTCTTGCCGTCTGTCTAACCGGGGGAGGTTTTCGTGATATTCTTTTCCATGTAACGCAAAAGCGGGTTATCTCCATCAAAACGTTTTTCACGAAGGCTAGTTTTTCCCAATGCTTGATCCAGGAGTTTCCTTCTCTTCTGGGTAGAGTTCAAGATTACAAGGCCATCAAGTTGAACACGATAGTCGTTAACGTTGCTGTGACGCTGCTGTGTTGCCATCTTTTCGTCTCCAAGTCATCCCTTTTTTGCGTCAATTTCTTTGCTGAATAAGTTCGAGTGCGCACTTCTAGTTATCTGTATGTCCCCGGATGACGCCCGGGTAAAGTTAATTATTGATAGCCATAAAACTCAGAAATGAATCGGTTGTTCTGAGCCGGTGATAAAATAGAATAATGAAAAAACTTATTATAATAATTTAACAACTACCGTAAGAATATACCTATAAAGAATTTATCCAAGTAATTTATTTTTTATTGCATTATAATATTAAGTCTGTTACTTATTTAAACTGCGCATTGTTACGTCATTTCATTGTTTACTATTCACATTGCTCCTTGTAGTAAAATTTAAAATTAAAGTTAATGACTTAAGGCTGCAATAGTTTATTGCAGCTCAAGTAAAGAAACTGATAGTTTCACTCGCGCAATTATTAGATTTGCGCAATGCACATAGGGTCCCACGAAAGTTTCATACGTATTATGGGATCTCCACACCTAAAAGCTTAATTAACCCTGCAATACGTGCGATTATGTAAGTAATAATACACACAAAATTGTAAAAGTATTACATAATAGTTTTAATATATTCAAAACAAACATTAACAATAGAAAAATTTACGCTATTTAAAAAGAAAATTACCACTTTTCACATTCTTGCAAAATCTACAAATCTTAACATGCCTACAAAACTTTTTTACTCATGTACGAAACGTAAAAGTTTTAAGTACAGGAAAAACTTCATTTATATTTTTCATAAAGCTAAAAAGGGATCATGTAACTAGTAACAATTTAAAATGATAAATTAAAAACGGATGACGTAATAATTCTATTTTTAAAATGTTTGCGTATGAAATAAAAACATGTGGTTTTAGCAAAATGTCTTAATAATGTCAGTAGTTATGTTCTTATCTGAAACTATTCATTAGTAATCTAAAGTAGCATTTTTGTGAGAAATTATTGAATTAGTTAAAACACTAATTCCCGACCCCTTCTTTTAAAAAAGGTGATTTTTATATCTCTACAAAGTGTTACGCAAGCGCAACGCAATCGATGGATTTTAATTGTTGTGTTTATTACTAATTGTCATTGTTACATACATAAATTTACAATCAAATGAAACTAATGGACTTTATTTAGCTATCGGCATTTTGCCGAAAGCTAATCCCCTTTTCTAATTCTTAGAGTTAAAATCCATATTTTTTTTTAAGCTTTTAAAATGAATCAACCATGTGTATCAAAATTTATAATTGCTTTTCATGAATTTTTTAAGGAAATAGGTAAAAAAAAGTACATCTCACTGTTCAGAAAATATAATCTTTTTGTATGTTTTTATAAAAATGAAAGTTTAATTCCAAGAGGCAATATTATACAATAGTTCAAGTAAGCAACAATATACGTGATTGTTAGTATCATTCAATATTATTGTTAATACGAAAATAAAAATAGTATACGTTAAAAAATCTAATCAATAAAAAAATCACTTCTAAAAAAATTATTTTCTTTGCACAGGTAGCTTACCTAAATCTTGATTGTGTGATTTTTCATTGCCTTCAATATACAGCAAACTGTAACCATCCCACATTTTTCTCATACCTCTTGGACATTGAGGTAAGTTGTAAGATTGACTATGCCTTACCACAAGCATTCCCATTAGCTTATCTCCTCCACCTTTTCCATTTAAACCTCTTGGTCCTGGCTCTCCTTTAGGTCCTGGTACACCTGGTGGTCCAGGAAGTCCATCAAAGCCCCTTTCCCCTTTTGATCCATCTGGACCTGGTAAGCCCGGAAGTCCTGAAGGACCATTTGGACCAGGATTGCCTTTTAATCCTTTATCAAACAAGAGAGAGAAATGCTTGAGTATTAAAAGCACGAGTAACACAATCATTAGAGCTTCTGAATAATATAGTTATTTTAAGACGCATCGCATTTTAAATCATAGTCGAAAAGAAATAATTAATGCTCTATATAAAGATGCACACAAGATAATATTTATAGATTAAATTAAGAAAATTAGATTAAAGCTGGGCTTGATGAGTCCAACGTGTATGCGACAACAGCTGAGTTTTAACTAACATATCTATAAAGTTTCAGCTTGATTAATAATTAGCTCTATGGCGGTTTCATGAATGAACAAACTTATGAGAATCTATCTAACCTGTACAGCATTTCTGTCTCTCTATTTACAATAAACTGCATTCGTTAGCGAAGAACACTGATCGAAATATATTTTATGCGCATTGCCACTATATAGATAAGATTTCAGATCATCCCAAGCGAATTTTTTTCTTTTTTTACTTTTGCTACCATCCTTAGCATTTGAAACCATTTACTTTTTCCATCTTTACTATTTTCCTTACTATCTTTATTTTATTATTTATCTTTATATAACTTCAGTGCAGTTAAAAATGTTATTTGTAGTTTTTATCTATAATAATTTAATTGTTATTTGCTATACACATGTGACTAAATGCATATGAGCATTGTCCAGTTAAATAAATAAGACGAAATCAAGCATGACATTACCATTTGCAACCATTTATTTTTTCCATCTGTACTATTTTCCTTATTATCTTTTACTATTTTATCTTTATATAATTTCAGTACAGTTAAAAAAATTTGTTTATAGTTTTTATCTATAATATTTTAACAGTTATTTGCAATACACATATGATTAAAAACGATAGAGCATTATCCAGTTAAGCAAATGAGACGAAATCAAGCATGACCAATAAAATATGTAACCATTGATTAATTTGTGTATACTAACCCGGGAATCCTGGACTTCCAGGATATCCTTTAAGACCAGGCAGTCCTGGATCTCCTGGTATTCCAGGCAATCCTGGTTCTCCTTTTTCACCCCTCAGCAAGTTAGGAGGTGGAACATTTCCCTTTTCTCCTTTCATACCTGCGAATCCTGGTGGACCTGAAACAAATTATAGATTTTCTTTGAATGAAGAATTTCTTATTTTAATTCAACATTATTTGATAAATTAGTTAAAAATGTGACTATTTCCTTAGTCGATAGGAAATTACAAATAATAAGCTAGGTAATAAATCAATATTCTTATTTGCTACATCATTTCCTACATTTTCATTTCTCATTCGTATCCATTTATGGTTTTTAAAATTTCTAGTAAATTTAACTTTCTATAACAGTTAAAAACTAATATAAATAGCACAAGTGTATATATTAACAACGCACGCAGAAATATATCTTTATATATATATAGCACAATGAAGAAAAAAAGGATAAAAGAAAAGAGAGAAAAGCGAAGAAAATTAAAAAATTAAAAAGTTTTATTTACTGTTCTTAAGATGCAAGTATATGGAACTCATAAAATAAGTTAAAAATATCGAGAAAACATGGAAAATAATAAAGACTAATGAAAAGAGAAGAAGAAAAAAAATATTGAAATAAAATATTTTCGAAAATATCTTTAAATAGATTTATTTACTTAAAAAATATTATTAAAAAGTCAGAAAGCAAAATATTAAAAAAATATAATCTCTTCATCAGCTCACCCGATTATATCTGAAAAAAAGAGTGCTTTCTAATATTGTATCAAAGCAAAATATATCAATATAGCCAAAGCAAAATATATCAATACAGTAGGGTGAGGAGCTCTCAAGAAATTGAAACGAAAATAGAACACAAGAAGTCAAAAATATATACAAAATAAAACATATCAAGCAAAAAACAGAAAATTAAATACAAAGAAATGTAAATGTTTACTCTATGTTTTGTTCTGTATGTTATATTTGTCACTCCTTTTGTTCAAATTTTCTTACCTCTTGGTCCTTCTGAACCTGGAAAGCCATCTATTCCTCTTTCTCCTTTGACTCCAGGAAAGCCAGGTAATCCCGGCAGTCCTGGTTCTCCTGATTCTCCCTTATAACCTGGGGGGCCTGGAACTCCAGTAAGTCCTAAAAATTAAGTTATTTAGTTATTAATAATTGCTATCACCAAATAAAAATTCATGAAGCCTGTATTTTCATATTAACTCGAAGAACTAGGAACATTTTAATCAAACCATTATTAGAAATGTTACATTCAAATACTATGAGAAATGATACTAAAAGTTTGTCGAAATTCTTGTTCATGAAAACATATTTTTAAAAATTAGAATATAACAAGTTCTAGTTAAAATTTGAATGATCCAAACATTATAGTTAAGTAGACAATAAAATATATGTTAAGTAGACAATATAATATAGTTAAGTAGACAATATAATATAAGTTAAGTAGACAATATAATATAAGTTAAGTAGACAATATAATATAAGTTAAGAGCTTATTTAAATTAACAATGTAATTTAAGTNCAAGAGCTATAACACATCTGCAGCAGAACTGGATATGAAGACAAAATTGCAGGACAGGAACACTTTAATTGTCCACTAATCTTCAGATTTCCTGCTACGTTTTAAAAAACTTTATTTGTGAAAACCTTCAGCGTGGCGGACAGCTGGCCGCCTTAGGCGGCTAGTATATATATATATACGTTTATATATATATATATAGCACAATGAAGACAAAAAGGATAAAAGAAAAGAGAGAGAAGCGAAGAAAATTAAGAAATTTATAAGCTTTATTTACTGTGCTTAAGATACAAGTATATGGAACTCGTAAAATAAGTTAAAAATATCGAGAAAACATGGAAAATAATAAAGACTAATGAAAAGAGAAGAAAAAAAATTATTGAAATAAAATATTTTTAAATAGATTTATTTACTTAAAAAAGTATTATTAAATAGCCAGAAAGCAAAATATTGAAAAGATATAATCTCCTCATCAGCTCACCCGATTATATCCGAAAAAAGGAGTGCTTTCTAATATTGTATCAATATAGCCAAAGCAAAATATATCAATACAGTAGAGTGAGGATCTCTCAAGAAATTAAAACGAAAATAGAACACATAAAGTCAAAAATATATGCGAAATAAAACATATCAAGCAAAAAAACAGAAAATAAAATGCAAAGAAATGTAAATGATTACTCTATATTTTGTTCTGTATTTTCTTTGCATTTAGTTATATTTGTCACTCCTTTTGTGCAAATTTTCTTACCTCTTGGTCCTTCTGAACCTGGAAAGCCATCTATTCCTCTCTCTCCTTTGACTCCAGGAAAGCCAGGTAATCCCGGCAGTCCTGGTTCTCCTGATTCTCCCTTATAACCAGGGGGGCCTGGAACTCCAGTAAGTCCTAAAAATTACGCCATTTAGTTAGAAATAATTACTATCACCAAATAAAAATTCACGAAGCCTGTATTTTTATATTAAATCGAGGAACTAAGAAAATTTTAATCAAACCATTATTAGAAATGTTTACATTCAAGTAAGAGAAATGATACTAAACGTTTGTCGAAATTCTTGTTCATGGAAAAATATTTTTAAAAATTAGAGTATAACAAGTTCTAGCTAAAATTTAAATATTCCAAACATTATAGCTAAGTAGACAATAAAATATAAGTTAAGAACTTATTTAAATTAACAATGCAATTTAAGTTAACTAGAATATTTTTATAGAAATATTCTAGTTAAGTTTATTCTAGTATCTAAGTTTGTATGTTTTTTCAATTTTCGAATTTCAAGATCTAACGAAATCCTTTTAAATTTTTTGTTTCAGTATGCAAAAAAAAAAAANCCCCCCCCAAAAAAAAAAAAAAAAAAAAAAAAAAAAAGATTAAAAAAAATAGATTTTTTGAAGACACCTTTATAAGGCACAGAAAATTTTAAATTTCTATTAATTTAAAAATTATAGAAAGAAACTTTTAATATCTATTGACACTAGTTTTCCTAAGCCATTTAAGATATATGAAAACACTTTTTATTGTAATAATGCATTTTAACGTCAGAGTATTAACGAAAATAAAATGTGGCAATATAAGAAGAAAACTGCTGGCTCATAATCTGGAATTGAAATATATCGTGACTCAAACCTGGTGGTCCTTGATCTCCTACTGGCCCTGGTACAGCTGGTAAACCAGGAAAGCCTTGATCCCCCTTAAGTCCTGGAAATCCTGACAAACCCTGTTCTCCTTTTATCCCTGGTGATCCATCCAATCCATTCCTTCCAGGTACGCCAGGAAAGCCTGCGTTTCCTTTTTCTCCAAATAACCCTGGTAATCCTGAGGAGCCTGGTGTTCCTGGTTCTCCTGGTAATCCTGGCAGCCCAGGTACTCCTATAATATTTAATTAAACGTTCGTTCAACTTAAAGCATTATTATACTAATACTTTCTAAATTTAAGACTAATATAATTTAAGCATTTAAATGAAAATTAAAATATACCATTCACGCTCATGGCAAAGCACTTGGTATGCTTTATAGAACATCAAAATCAGAAATTGATTTTTTTTGTGAATGTTTTTTATTTGTTTTTCGAAAGTAGGAAAGTTTTAAAAAGAAGATAACCATGGTTTTAAATTGATCAGTTTACATCTTTTTGCCTAAACTTTATAGGAAATTAAATTTCAATTAAAGAATTTTTAGTTATAATATACCAATGTATTTTTTTATAACTGAAACAACGATATTAATTTCCTCCAAGTTCCCATAAGAAATCAGTATCTCAGGAGATACTGAATTGAAGATTGATCGTTTTCTGGTTCAGAGGAAAATTAAATCTGTGGATGAATGAATAGAATATGAATGGGTCTTCCCTGTAAAAGGGATTGTGACGTGTGTGTGCCTGAAGTTATATTCTTGGCCATAGATGGCGCCACTGAAAAACAAGAAACGCACCCTCTGTCTTAAAAATTCACTTGGTTTCCCATAGCAGGCTTACTGTATTGGCAAGTGGCATAAATAACAACAACGACAACAATATTAATTAAAAATCATACTCAAACTTCAATTATAAAAAAATTGAATTCTGATATTTGATCAATTTTAACTAATGTTTTGAACGAGAAACTGATGTACAAACCTTTTGGACCAGGAATACCTGGTAGACCTTCAAGTCCAGGTCGCCCAGAAAGACCCTTTTCCCCTTTCATTCCAAACCCAGGAATGCCAGGAAGGCCTCTCCCTCCTTTAATTCCAGGAATGCCTGAAAAGAAAATAATGCAAAAATATTATGCATAATATTCAATGCTTCATTAACTTCAAGTATTTATCCTATCGAAATCCATGTAACGATTTTTACAGAAATTAAAATGATTCTTAACAACTATGCGGACTCGAAAATCGTATAATCCTACAATCCTGCCATGATGAATAGGCTTTCCCGGGTATAAAATTTTGACAAAAATCTGTAATATGCTAGATTGGACAAAGAAATGGTATGAATGGGAAGGGAAATGAAATCGGCTATATTTGATGCACATAATTGAGATACGTAAGTACAGAATTTATTTAACAAATCCAAATGTACCTCAAGCACTGTGTGTAAGAACTAAAAGTTTATAACGATATGCGATCAACTATAAATTATTTCATAAACAAATTTATAGTATCGTATTAAAGTAACATATTGAAAGGTATTTGCCGTTAGCTTCTATTTTTAACATAATTTTTATAATATTAATTCTTTGTTCATAGTAATGCTGTGTATTTTACCCCACCATTAGTAATTCTAATTTTTACTTAAAAGTGTTGATGTGGATATAGTGTTGCTAATGTCATTTTTTTCTGATCGATTAATAATAATAGGTACATTCATTTGTCATTACCATGCAATCTAAAATTATGTTTGAAAAGTGCATGCTTAAAACTAATTTGTAGACTAACATTTCCGACGGGACATGCAAAAATTTCAAGATTTTTCGAGCCCTTGTACTTTTTCTAGTTATTATCGTACAGGGTTTTAAATTAAATGAAATATACACATATATACACTGATTGCCATAAAAAGTCGTGCACTAGTAAAAGTTGTCAGCCTAAAAAAAAGTCGGAATTTCGCATACGTAAGTAAAAGTCCAAGGACAGTCCAAGTTTGTGTGGCTTTTTAATATCTTCACAGCTATAATGCTATTTACCCATTCCTAACATTTTTGCTCTAGAAAACTTCAATGTGAACTATTAAAACAATGAAATTAAAGTGTGGAAAAAAAACATAATTTGAAATAGCTTTATTTTCTAAAAGTTAATAGCCTATAGCCATTGAATGACATTTCATAATTTGTATATATATATAGAAACAGCATTACCTGGGAAGCCTGGTTGTCCTTGAAGTCCTGGTGTTCCATCTAATCCAAGGAATCCTCTTATGCCCTTTAACCCTATAAGAATATAATAACAATTTTACTCACCCTTCATACAATTTACCTGATTTCTGATGGATTTGAAATAACTAAACCATCAGCCAATACAAAACATTTAACGCATATTACATTTAACGCATAACAAACATTACCTGGTAAACCAGGAGCTCCATCTAAGCCTCTATCTCCTTTAGATCCTGGAAAACCAGGTAGTCCAGGTAAACCAGGTTCTCCTTTTTCACCAGGGAAAGCTCTTTCACCTAAAAATAAATTAAAATAGAATAAAACTCTAAATGCTTTATATGTAGCATTAAATTTTTATTTACATTAACGACAAGAAGATGAGGCTTTTCCCACAACATCCCGTGGCAGGCCAGGGGATCATAGCGGTTAAGGCTCAACAATTTCATGAGCAGCATGATTTTTACAATGTGCTCAGCAAGCAAAACATACAAACTGGTATTAATCATTCTACAGCTGAGTAAGATTCGAGCCGCCAATGAGGATCGAGCCCCAGTCCTTCACAACGATAGCCCAGTGTCTTCAATGAATTTTATATTTATGAAATTCCTAATGTATATTTCAAAACTTTCCCCATTTATTAGATGTTGAATACTATTTTTAGAATCAGAGAGGAACTTAGAAGCAGCACTAAAAATCTCTAAAAAATTAACGTATTTCATAAATTCAAATAATATTCTGTTTTTGGAAGATCGATTAACCATAAAATTTTAATACTTAGTTCAACCAATTAATATTTGAGCGAAATAATTTCTTGAACACCTAACTAGTTTAAGCGCAACTGATTTACATCCAACACGCAATAATTTCTTTAACTCCTAACTAATTTAAACGCGTTTTAAACGTTGATCACTCAATTGGTTCTTTAAAAAAATAAAGAGGTTAGCTTCATACTTAAAGAACAACGTAAGATATCAAACAATTTAAAATATCAGGAGGAAATAAGCAGCTACTTTTGTTAGAAATGCAAGTAGAGCAATCATTAATGTCAAAAAACGGAATAAATAGTTTTGAACATAATTGTAATTGTTCTGAAAAGAAGCAGAAAGCAACAAAAAACACATTATGTTCTTATTGTTGGGGAAAGATTTAGTTGATTTCTGTAACTGGACACTAATGTGAAGCTTAATTTTAAAGTTCAGCAATTTCACATTATTTTTTACATCAAATTATAACGCGTCGAAATCATAAATGGCGCAGTGTATTCTCTAAACTAATAAGATAATGGAAAATATCAATAATGAGGCAGGAAAGAGAAGTGAAAGCAAGCTATACAAATGCAAAAAATTATAACAATGAAATTAAAAAAAGGAAAGAAAACGGAAAATCTGTGATTACCTGGTAAACCTGGAAAACCAGCAAGGCCTTTGTCTCCTGGAAGTCCTGGTGATCCAGCTGGTCCTACACCCCCAGGATATCCTCTATCTCCACTCAATCCAGGTAACCCTGGTAGACCAGATGGTCCTCTGCCTCCTTTAACCCCCGGAAATCCAGGTAATCCACTGTCTCCTTTCAGACNTGTAGAAAGAAAAAAAATAAAAAAATGTTTTAATAAGCAATATTTTTTCTATGTTTGCTTTTTTAAAGCTCATCCACGTTGTTGAAAGTAAATCTATGAAAGCAGAAACGCATTCCACAGACTACTGTTTTCTATAACTTTAGTCCTCTCTCCCCCTTCCTTTGTTGAACCTTCCGTGTTGAGTTTTTTCCTGTAAACTGTACAAGCAAATTACAGCCTTGTGATCTCGGCATTATTCGATCATTTAAGGTTTTTTACAGAAAGCAACTTGTCCGGAAAGCTGTAGCTGAACTAAAGTACGTAAACCTAAATGACGCCTGAAAACTAAAGTTAATGTTCTGGAGGCTATGCATTTTATTTCTGCTGCTTGGAGAAGCGTTACACAAAAGTGCATTTCCGACTGTTTTGAAGAAAGCGGAATCGTAGCTTCTAATGAACCGTTAACAGATGCCGGATTAGATAGACTAGACTCGGAGAATGACAATAAAACAGTTAGCTATGACTTCGACGAGTACATCCGAGAAAACTTAGCAACATGCGAAGCTGAGAGAACCACTGCTCCATCCGTGGACGATGTTATGGACTTTTCATCCGCCGATGAAGATGAGCAAGAAGAAACAGAAGCACAGCCCATTCCTTCTTTCAACACAGCATTGAGAAGTTTGCTAATAGTGAAAGACTATTTTCTATCATACAGAGACCAAGAAAAAAAATTGCAAAAGATTTCAGTCCTGGAAGATGAGGCATTTACTTTGAACTCAATGTCTAAAAAACAATCTACTATTACGCACTATTTTGCACCTAAATTACATGATTCTTAACAAAAATTGTAAAAGTGACATTGAACTGGTATGTTTTTTTCTTTAAATACTAATATTCTTTTCGTAAAATATAGATTTTAATAGTACCTTTTGAAAGAGTCATCTTTACTACCTTTAGTTTGTTTTATTTTTCCATTATTATTATATGATTTTTTGCTATCTAATTATTTCCCGTATTTTACGTTTTCCCGGATTATACGTTTTTTTTACCCAGTCCCCTGAGAAACGTAAAATCGGGGTTTCACTGTAATAATAATAATGAAATAAATTTAAAAAATTGTGTATTTATTTCTATCGTTATGTACTAAAATCGTAAGTAGATGCTTTATTATACATATATTTTTACATAATCATTTTATTTTTATTTATCCTAAGTGGCCAATTTATATACAAAAGAATTTATATAAATTGGCCACCATGGTATGCTTCATTTTTTTGCCTCATACACATATGGAGAATCGCAAAGAAAAAATTTGTAGTTTTAAATAGTAATGTATTTATATAAATAAAGCAAAATGTTTGTATGCATGCACAGTGCGCAGAAAAAAACGGGCCACATAACATTTGATATAATAATCAAATCTTCAAGTTCGAGGACTCTATCTTAATGGTTTAAGGGGGTAACTACAAATACGCTAATTAAGAAGTACAGACGATATCTTAAGTTACGAAGTAAGACCCAACAACGTAAACTTTCTCTAAATAAGCTTAACTTATTTACAACTGATTCGGATTTCTGACCCCGAAAAAATAAGGGGTAACGGCAGTTTGGGAAAAGTGGTACCGATAGTTTGATCAGGAGAGCAGTAAGAAATTTTGATCCTTTAATGTTAATTTTACTTTTTGCGTATTTCGCTATATATCGAGAACTTTTTAAGTGAATCAAAAAAATGTTGCAGACAAATGTAAAATTTATTTATCCAAAGATAATTCCATGCAAAACTAACTCTTCGTAAATATTTATTATTTTTATTATTTTATATATTACTGGTAGAAAAAATTTTGAATTGTAAAGTATAAAATTTTTTACTTCATTTTAAATAATGAAATGTTGCACAGCAAAACACAAAATTCGAGTGAAATCAGTCGAATAGTTCCTGAGAAATCAAATTGTGAGAAAGTCGCGCATTTGAAATTCGAATTGTTGGAACTATTTAGCCGATTTCGCTCAAATTTTGTATTCCGCCATGCAAAATTGCACTTTTTAAAATTATGTCAAAACCTTATGCTTTACAATTCAAAATTTTTTCGACTATTTTTATAAATACAATAATAAAATAATAAATAACTATCGAAAATTCTTCATTGAGTTGATTTATTTTTGGACAAACGAATTTTATAATTGTGTTCAAAAGTTTTTTATTTAGCAGGAAAATTTCTCGAGATATAGCGAAATACGCAAATAGTAAAATTAGCATTAAGGGGTCCAAACTTTTGATCGCTCTCCTTACCAAACTATGGGGGCCATATTTCCCAGATTGCGGCTACCCCCTTCATTTTGGGGGTCAAAAATTCGTATCCATCAAGAAAAGGGTATGTTTATTCAGAGAAAGAATTTTTTTGAGTCTAATTTCGTAATTTAAAATATCGTCTCCCCTTGTTAATTAGTATATTTGAGGTTAACCCTTCGAAACATTAAGATCGAGTCCTAGAACGTGAAGATCCGATCATTAGATCAAAAGTTATTTCGGGTGGTCTTTTTTTTTTTCATTTTACGCATTGTATATATATGTATTTTTGTACCCTATATGAATCCGTAATTCGGAATCAGTCCGCAGCTGTTTCGTTGTACATACGTTCGAAGATATGGCTGACCTAACTGTCTCTTTGAAATTCTTTCCGACTGCCTGTATACGGGCTATATCCCCCCCCCCCAAAAAAAAAAGAATTTTCCAAAGGTTTTGAGAAAAATTCTATAATATAAGTGATTTGCTAGCTTGCAGCTCTAATAAATCAAAAATTTGTCTTATTGCAAGTTTAATGATTTTTTTATCTTTGGTTTCCTATGTTAGGTTATCAAAGGTGAAATCAACGTTAACAATTTCGCAAAGAATGATGATGACGTCATCGAATTTGCATTTTAAAATGTATATGAAACCATTTGTTTCTTATATTATTACTTACGTTTTTAGAGCATATCTAGACTAAATTAAATAATGGAGATTCAACAAAACTTAATAAAACAAAATCGAAGTTATCTATTAAGGTCCTTGAAAATTTTGGTAAATTAATAACACTGGCTTGATGTTATACGTACAACTTATTTTTTTTTCTCTTATGAGTGGGACTTCTAACTCTTTTAGTCAATTTAATAGTATAAAGCCACACCGGAACCTAAAACAAATAACAAAGGAAAAAAGTTTGTGTGTTAGGTTCCGTTAAAATCTTTTGTTGGTTGTATTAGAATACTTATCCGTTTCAGAGCGCGTAAAAAGAACAAATTGCAACAGTCCCTATACTAGCCACCTATATTGGTGTAATAGGTCCTAATTTCCATGGCACAATACCGGTAGTAATAAATATCACATTTAATTAAGCATCACTGGCGTAAATAATGGTTTGGCAATTTTTTTACGGACTTAGAAATAAATGCCGATATTCGCTCTCTAAAAATGATTGTAAAAATATTAGCGTCGTTACTAATTATTTTCAAGAATTACATTCAATTAATTTTGGCAATAAGTACAAATTGAAATAAAAAAGATTAGTATTGTACTCAAAAGTTTAATTAATGTAGAGCAGAACTGATACTTATTAGTAAATAAGAACAGTATAATATTGACGTATAAAAATCTGAGCTAAAGATTCTTTATTAATTTTGACAATAGGTACAAATTGAAATAAAAAAGATTAGTTTTGCATTAAAAAGCTAAATTAATGAAGATCAGAAATAGAACTTTTATGTATGTGAGAACCGTATAAAATTGTCGTATTAATATTGGCCCAAATTATGCTTAATTAATTTTAGTAATAGGTACTAATTGAAAAAAAAGTTTAGTACTTAAAAGAGGGGGTGCCATCCCCTCTGCGGAGGATCAAAATTGTGATGGCATGTCTTTGGATCATCCTCAGGGATGTTTCTCAGAGCGTCGCCAATAGCCCATTGTGCAGCTCTAGCGCGACGTAAAAAAACTGCAACAACAACTTCTAAAGTGAAAGACGCTGACTTCTTAGCATTATTCTGAATTTCTTATTACTCACTAGCGGAATACCCCGTTCTTTGTACGGGTAAGAAAAAGTAATTAAGCAATAAACCGTTCTCAATCAACTCTAGTAAATCATGCGCAAAACTGAAATAAATGTACCAACACGATTAATGAAACTAATGTAATTAAAAATTGTTTTTTAGTTTTAATTTGTTGCCCGGAAACTTTACTTATTATAGTAAGCAAAAAATAATTTTAACTCTAAAAGAAGATAATAAAAAAAGTCGAGCACTTTAGCACATCGTCGAGCTCATCGTCGGTACCTTCGTAGACTGATCCAAGTGGCCACCTACCCGCACACTGAAAGCAGCCAGTGATGCTTGACTTCGGTGTTCTACTGGGAACTGTTTCTTAACGATCCACTGCGGGACAATAAATAATGGAACACATGATCCAAAATATTTGCAAAAAATACTTAAACTTACTCTATTTCCTTTTAAACCTGGGAATCCTGGTAAACCTTCAAACCCTTTAGATCCTGGCAAACCTGGTAAACCAGATGGGCCTTCGGGACCTCTTTCTCCAGTTGGACCTGGGGGTCCGGGAATACCAAATCCTGGTATTCCGTCGTCGCCTTTTAAACCAGGGAAGCCATCAAGTCCTAACATATGGTGTTAAACATTATCATAATTGAAGCAAAATGTAAACACATTTATTTGGTACAGTTGTAAGCATAACATTTGTTTAAGGACGCAATTAAAAATTTACAATATTTTATGCAATTTTCTAAATAAAAAGGTTATTTACGCATTTTGTTAATTACTGAATCAATTTCATTTAACCAGGATTATTTCGACTTCTAATTTCAAAATGATTTCCATGAAATGATTTCTTTACTATTATTTATAGATAAAGGTATAATGTATAGTTACATAGCAATCGTGACAAAATACAAATTTTGTGATTTTAAAATTTAACCCATATGTCTTTAAAAGCTGCTATCATATTGATTTCAAAAATGTACTTATTATTTAGCCATCCTGAAAATATAACTGTATACATGAGAAAGTTGCACTTCTATTCGGTTATTGATTTTGGCGCTAAACTTGACGATTTCACAATTTTGAACAAAACTATTGTAATTATAACCTTCCCTAGTACTTATACTTAGGCGTAGAAATTATAATAATAAAACGCTGAGCCCCTATGGCTCTATTAATAGAGCGTACGTCTTCCGATGAGGTGAACTGAGTTCGAATCCCAGCGATGACTGACTGATACGAATCCGCATCCGGCTTGTACCAGCCACAGGACTGACGTGAAATATCCTCAGTGGTAGACGGATCATTAGTTAGAGTCCCTTTGCCGTCAGGCTAACCATGGGAGGTTCTCGCGGTCTACCTCTCTCTGTAACACAAATGAGGGTTAGTTCCATCAAAAAGTTCTCCACGAGGTTAAATTTCTCCCAATGCTTGATCCAGGAGCTCTCTTGTATTCTGGATTGGGTTCAAAATTACAATGCTACTTTATTGAACATTAGTAGTCGTGAACCCAAAAATTAAGTCGGCTGTAAAACGACAGTTATTGAATAAAAATAAATAAAATAATAAAATGCTAAATAAATATAGGAAAAATAAATTCCATCGGCCAAAGGAAGAAAACTGGACTCCTTTAATGAACCAAAAAGTTTCGATGAATAAGATGATAGCTAATTAGTTTTTTTTTTAAATAAAGAATAACCTTAATACGAAGAATTAAAATGGCTTAAAAAATAATATGAGCCTGAGTGATTCAAAAGTGAAAGAATAATTAAAAAAAAATTTTCAGATCGATTTCTAAAATTTCGAGATTTTTGATATATGTACACTCCTCAAAAAAAAAAGAAAAAAGAACGTCCTGAATAACTTTTGTTCTAAGAATTGAATTTTCACAAACTAGGAACAAATATTAATGGTTTGGGGGGACAAACTATAAATTATATTAACCATAACCATAATAATTCTATAGTATCGATGAAATTTACGTAGAGGACAATTTACAAGTAACTATTTAAAAAAATTATTTCTTAAAATAAATAATATAAATAGCTAACAATATATCTACAATTTTAAAACGTTTTATAAAGCACAGACAAAAGCATCAGTGGAATTTAAGGAACTTAGAATACGAACCTTCAGGGCCTGGTAAACCTGGTGATCCTCTTAAGCCAGGCAGTCCTCTGTCTCCTTTATCACCTTTGGCGGCTATTCCACCAGGTTCACCTTTTGTACCAGGAAATCCCGGAAGACCAACGTTTCCTTTAACCCCGGGTATTCCTTGTTGACCGTCTTTACCAGGAAAACCAGGGAATCCCTTGTCACCTTTTAATCCTTGAAAGCCAGGCAAGCCTTCTAAACCTGCAGGTCCTGGATTGCCAGGTAGACCATCAAAACCTCTTTCTCCCTTTATACCTGCCGTAGAGTAGCAATTTCTTTCAGTAATACGTCACATTGCATTTCAATTTCATAAAAAAATGTATTGCTCATCAATTATAGTAGTTTATAAATTTGAAATGTAAAGCCAATGTACATATTTTTTTTCTCTTTTTTTTTTGGAAAGTCAAATTGTTTTTGCAACTTCAGTTTTGCTTGCATCAACTTTTTGGGGTGTTTTTTTCACATTTACAATATGAAATATTTTTTCAGTATAAAAATCTTTGTTTAATGAAGACAAAAGCTATAATCAAATCAAAAACAAACTTAATAACAGAATGCATAAATTAAAGCATGCTTAGTAACAGAACACTTTAATCAAAATAAAGTATTAATTGTTACCGATAACGCTAAAACTATGACAAAAATTCCCAAGACTTACAATACCGTTATCTTTAAAGTAAAAATAAGGCAGAAATTGTTTATCACAAACATTATAATCAAAAAGTTCTATGAATTACAGAAAAATCCTTCTTCTAATCAATAAAGCAATTTGAAAGGCATATAATCTTTTTGGAGAAGCAGACCAAGGAGTTTACATCTTAATTTCTTCCTAAATTATTTAAACTTTTATTAACTAATTCGTAAAACAGAAACAGATTTTTCTTCATAAGAAAGATATTTCTCGGTAAAGAATCTGTTTCCGAAAATATTTATGATCAAATAGTTTGCTATCAATACTCGATTTATGCAAAATCATTTTACATTAATTTATGTGATAAATAAATAATTTTTTTTCTGATTCTATAAGTGGCAGTAATTTATTTCTTGATCACTAATGATATAATATTTAAAATTATTTTAAACTATTACATTTCAAAATTTTTTAAAATTATTACTTTTTAGATTCTCCAAAATTTAATGTAACAGAAACATCACGTTTAAATTCAATGATTTATAAAAAAAATTATTGCATGATCCTTTTTTTAAATATAATATTAAAATTTCAAGGCTTATCATAATAATTTACCTAATTATCCTGAATGTTTAATAAGATTAAAGATATTAAATCACAAAATATTACTGTCCGAAATCACCTAAGCATTTTTATTATATTCTCCAGAGCAGCGGTCCTCAAAAGGTGTTCTGTGGTACCCTAGGGTTCCGTGGAAAAATCATAGGGGTTCCAAGAATTGGGAGTTTTCACTCAGTAAATTGATCATTTAACATTTCGGGGATTTAAGGAAAATTCCAGTGAATAAAAATTGCGAAATTCACATAAAAAATAATCGAATAAATAACAATAAAATTATGAAAAGAATATGCCTCTATAAAAAAATAACATCAGTATTTTCCCTAGAATTTTTTTTCTCAAAACAAAATAACAAAATTTAACAATAAAGAAATATGCTAATCATAAGATTCAATTAGTAATGAATAAAAAAATACATATTTCACATTAAATATTATTAAATTGAAAATCTTTGCTTAATATATTCATATGCTGACAATGATTTATTAAATATTATTAAATCGGGATTTTGCCAAAAGAAAGTCAATCATTTAGAGTTCTTATAACGGAAAAAATTAGGAACCACTGCTTTAGAGCTATCTAATTTTTTAACCACATACAAGGGTTTTAAGTCATATTAATTTTTAAGAAATATTAATATTTTAGCAATATTGATTTTTAATCAAATTTTTTTAAAGAATTACAATTGCAATGCAAACTTTTGCTAACTTCAATTAATCATTGAAAACTTCAGATAAATTTAAAAAAAAAGTCGGCAGAGATCCACTATTAGAAAAAATTAAAAAATTATCATATATTTTAACTCTGGCAGTACCTGGAAAGCCTGGTAAACCTTCAAGACCATCTTTTCCCTGTCTACCCGGTAAACCAGGTGCTCCGTTGAAACCTGGCCGTCCTGGTGAGCCAGGAGTACCTGATAATCCTTTTATTCCGGGTAGACCAAAAGATCCTGGTGGGCCGACATCTCCAGCTTCACCCTTTGAACCTAAAAAACAAAACCAAAAGAATCATTCAAGCAAATTTACCTTAAACCAAGGTCTTAAAATATGATTTTGGTACCCATTAACCAAACAATAAAGGAGACAGTTATCTTCTGCATTGTTTAGCTTAATAAATTTTCAAGGTGCCAAAAACAGATTTTAAAAACTTGAAAATTAGCCCTGGTTTGCTTTGTTGTTAAACTGTATGGTAATTATGAAGGATGTAGGTATATAAAAGATATCAAATTTTATATTTTACCTTTAGGTCCATCAAATCCTGGTTCGCCACTCGGTCCTCGAGGACCAGGAAAGCCGACTAATGCTGAATCTCCTTTGTCACCTTTAGGACCATTAAATCCTGGTACTCCAGATATACCCCTATCTCCTTTTTCACCCGGATAACCAGGAAAACCTTTTTCTCCTAATAAAATACCAATTAATCAAATTATGAAATTTAAATTATTTAAACAAAGATTCTAAACTCCTTTTGACTAAATTACGCAAAAAATACCAGCTTCGTCATTATATTTTCGTTATTTGAAAATAAATCTTTTGCAATTTGAAGCTTATTTAAAATTGTATGTATGGCGAATAAAGACGTTTATTATTTAAAATGTCTATATTCGAGGAATTTATGTATCTTGCAAATTTAACTGCAAAAATTAATACTCTAATTCCAAGTTACGACACATTTGTTAAACAAATAAATATGCATCTCAATAAAGTTTACGAGGAAAACGATCATTTCATAAACAGATTTTTACCTTTTTAGAACAAATAAAATTAATTTGTTAATCATTTTTTGTCGGATTTATTCGAATTAAACAAATTTTTTATAAACACATTTACTATAGCTATGAATCTAAAATAAAGAAAATTTACGCAAGATTTTAATTAAATGGAAAATTGAACAATTTAGTGCTTGCAACAAAAAAGAAGACAGTTTGACAGATGAAAGTAAAAGGTTAGTAAAAATGCAACACTGCACAAGAGAACAACGCGTTTTCATTGTTGAACAATATTTTAAAAGTAAAGAAACTTTGACTGCTACAGTTCGTTAATTTCATGCAAAATATGGTCGAAATATTGATTTTAACTTCCTCAACTGTGAAATTAAAAAGCGTAAGAAGACTAGATAAATTAGGGACTTTTAACACTCTAGCCGTCTAATAAACTTGTGTTTCAACACGTGTATTGGGCAACACATGGTTTCAACAAGAGCATGAGACATTACCTGACCGTGTTTCTCTTGTTCGGTGATTAAAATATGCCTCCTGGATCATGTGATTTAGAATCATTGGATTTTTTTCTATAAGGTTATTTGAAGTCAAAGATCTATGTCAACAAGCTCACATCTTCTCGTGCATGAAATGTAGAGATTCAGCGCTGCATCAAATATTTAGCCGCATTTAGGCAAAATTGCAATGGAAAATTTCGATAGAAAATGCGCATGTGTCAGCAAAGCTGTAGAGCTCATTTGCCCAATGTGCTATTCCATAAATATCCCTATCCTCCTATCCTACGTGCTTTATGATTTTTAATACAAAAAGATCTGCAATTGAAAAAAAATCCTCTTTTCTTATTAATTCAAATCTTGCGCAACATTTGGGACAACCTTAAGCAAAAATTTTAAATACACGTGTTTACTATATGCATATACGTATATATACTTGTATTTTACTTTACTTTCATTTTAAGCAATGGAAGTTAATGAAATTTCATTTAACTAGCGAGAGCATCAGCCAATTGTTGTTGGAATTTACCTACAAAAAAGGCCACATATAAATGTAGAAAATTTTTATTTTTAATTATTTTCAAATTTTTTGAACATTTATTTTTTAGCATTTAATAAATAGTGTCTTCCAAAACGTGTTTAAGGTTAATGAAGTTAATGAGGTTTCCTTAAAAGCAGAGATTTTAAGCATATATTACCTATCAAACCTGGTGCGCCTTCTGGTCCTCGTTCTCCTTTGTCTCCTGGCCGGCCTGGAAAACCGGGTTGCCCTTTTCGGCCATCTCCAGCAATTCCCCTTTCACCCTTGTCTCCTAAATTATAAAAAATTTATAAGCATCATGAAAGATTTTGTTTGATTTCCGAAAAAATAAGAGTGAAATTGCAAATAAAAGCTTAGTGGAGATCTCTTTTAAAAAATTCGATTCATACATTTTTGCAAATTACATTAATTTATAACGTGAGCAATATTTAATTGCTAATTAAATATTATTTCATTTTGCATCATATTATTGAATTCATTTCAATAAAACTAAAGTGCACTTTTAAAAAACTATGATATCCCTTAAATAACTATTTTTTAACCAATCAATTTTATTTGAATAAATAAGATAATAAAATCGAGATTGGAAATTGAACCACTTTAAATATAATGTGTTGTATGGTGTGTTGAGACCTTCATCTAAAAGCTTTCAGTTTAAAATGAATACGGAAAGAGTTTCAAGATTTACCTTTCGCTCCAGGAAATCCAGGTAGACCGGGTTGACCTTGACGGCCTGGCTCTCCTTCAAATCCTGGTGGGCCTGGGTTTCCCTTGTCACCTCTTGGACCAGGCAAACCTGCAAATAAGGCACTTATGAATAAAAAAGTAAATATCAAACGTATTTGTCAGAGAAATTTATGAAACGTATTTGCAAAGGAAATATGCGTTTTATTTTATCATTCTAAAAGCAAATTCAGAAAAAAAGTTTGCTAACTTAAAAAAAGGAAAACTAAAACCAAAATCTATGAACACAAATCTTTTGAAAAGAAGTAGAAAAATAAATATTATGTTTGACAATTAAGAGGAATGCATGAAAATAATTAAATAATTTTGGAAAATAATTTCTGCTATAAAATTGAAATTTTTTAATTTTTTTAACTAAATGATGAGGTTTTCAAGTTTTTTGTGGTTTAGAAAGTTTTAATTTTTAATTTTTTTAGCTAAACCATATTCTTCTAGTATAGTCAACATTCCTTCAAACACTTTGTGTACATTAACAGATTCAGCAATTATAAATTTAAATAAGAAAACATCATTGAATTTATTTTACTAATTGAAGTTTTTTACACAAATAATTTTTTTCAAAATCTAACTTCTAGGCACAAATCTGGGTTATAAAATTACACTTAAATTATGAGTAAAACATTATGTTTGTTATAATATGCAATAAATATGATTAAATGTTACACATGTTTGTACAGCACTATCATTTTTAAATTGTAATGCTACGCACACCCACAGAAAATTTTTAAAAGAAATATATGATTCGGTGATACAGTTTTAAACACCCTTTTGCAGGTAGGATCAAAAGAAAAAAGTTTTTGAAAGATAAACATTTAACTGAAATACTTTATTTTCAGAGAAATTTTAAGCTATCTATTCAAATGATTTATTTACAAATAAAAACTAATCACACAAATGCTTTTTTCAGAAAGATTTGTATCATTAATACTTATTTAAATGTCATTGTTTAATATTTTAATACTTCCTGTTACGCGAAAAAGGCAACGGTGCGAATTTTTGGTATTCAGTAAACGTTTCTTTTGATGTTTTCTTTTCATGTCTTGTAAGTTACTTTTCTATGAATGGAACAACGAATCGCTATGATCAATAATAGTGGAAATTATAGTGATATATATAGCAGCGATTCAGCTGAAATTAGTTAAGTTGGTATGCTTTATTAGCTATGAATTCTGACTATTGATTTTTATAAGCTATTTATGCTTAAATGTATATAGTTTATATAGATTTTTCTTTTCTTGAAATAAACAATTTTTGATAAATTATCGACGGACATTATCTTGAGCTTTGTTTCTACAATTCCCAAATAAAAATAAGTTTTACTTAAAATTCATTTCATTTAAATTACATGAAAAATAAAATATTTTCAAAGGTATTTTTGATATCTGTTCACCAAATTTTCATTTTAGTTCAATATGTTATTAAATTTGATAAAAACTCACCTCGTGGACCAAGTGAACCAGATGAACCATCAAAACCACGCTCTCCTTTAAGTCCTGGTATACCTGGTCTTCCGTCTCTGCCATCTTCTCCAGGTCCTCCATCTACTCCATCGAAACCAGGTTCTCCATTTGGTCCTGGTGGGCCAGGAGGTCCGGGCTTTAACTGTATCCAAGTGGGAGGGGGGTCGGGTGCTAAAGAGAAATAATTTCCATATTAATTAATGATTTGGATTATAAGATATATTTTCGATATATTTATTCCATATGATATATTTTCATAAATTTTCAAGAATACTTTAGAGTTAATTGAAGAGCTGAGTGTATCAATGGTTTAAGTAACATTTTAAATAAGTGAGCAAATAAGATTAAAAGTTTACGCGTTGACAATAAAAAATAAAGGTAATGCCTTGCCTTTATTTCTTGCTCATAAGCTTTCAATGAATTCGATAAATCCCAAACACATGATGTGATGTGATATGATATGATATGATATGACATGATATGATATGATATGATATAATATAATATGATATAATATAATATGATATAATATAAATTTTTAAATGGGCTCAGAAGNTATGACTTTCCACACGCTAATGGGGAAAGCATGTGAAGTGTTGCCATAGGAAAAGAGTTCTGCTCTACGCCACCTGCAGCCCATTTCGATCGCCAATAAAAAATAAAGATAATGCCTTGCCTTTATTTCTTGCTCAAGAGCCTTCAATGAATTCAATAAATCCCAAACACTCATCTAAGCTATTTGCGCCAAGGCATTCTCATTCTCGTCATCACGTAATGAACGACGAGATAATATAATATGATATGATATAAAATATTAACATCATAATATAATATGATATGATATGATATGATATAACACGATGCAATGCGATGCAATACAACAAGACACATGCTGTAAATTGGGTAATTTCCATGGGAGTTGCAGTTTTTCAAACTACAGTAATTGTGACAAGAATTATGCATTTAAATAATAAAAATATATTAATATAACTATATTTTAATAGCTATTCACTAGTTACAAGAATCTTTTATTTCTTCAGTTGCAAGATTTTCTATAAATTTTAAGAGGATTTTTCAATGCACCACTGCATTATACATCGTTTTAAAGTAAGAAACATGTTCAATCTAAAATTAGTTTTGCTCCTAAAGCTACGGATTTTTATTAAATGACATTTTAAGTCTATTTTTTTGTCAAAATGTACACGTTTAAAAACTTGTTATATATAAAAGAGGGAAGTAGATAGCAGAGAAAAATAGTTAATGTCTAGGTAAGTTAGGATGCATTGTTAAAATTTAACTTGTATAGAAACCCATGCCAGGAGATGTCACTGTACGCAGCTAGGGGAGCTTCAATATTATGACCTGCTCAGAAGTACCTGAAAAAATGGTTCATAAGGTGGCAGTTCCCCTAGCGGCGTATGGTGACATTTCCAAGTATAGGTTTCTTCAAGTTTAATCCTGATGATGTGTCCTAACTCTCTTAGAAATTTGTCATAACATTTATGCAGTTGCCTGGTAACTTTTAGTCAAAGATGTCATTTAAAAAGAAAAAAACTGTAGCTTAGAGAGAGAAAGCGAGTGCAGATTTGAAATCAGTGATGCGGAAATATAAAAATCTAATGAAGAAAAATGCTTATAAAATTACTGGGGTGTTGCAAAAACATCGTACATGCTCCACAGTTTCAAAAAACATTAATTAAAATTATTTTATTTTAGATTAGTTTTTAATTCATTCAAATAATTAAATTCCTTATCGAATTAATTGTTCAGTTTAAAGAAAATTGCTAAAAATAATTTCATACGATCAGTCGTTTGTACCTGGTTCTCCTTTTAGACCTTGAGCACCAGGTCTTCCAGGTGTACCGGGAAATCCAGGTTCCCCTCTTTCTCCGGGGAAACCAGGTGGTCCATATCCACGGTCTCCTTTTGGTCCTCTAGAACCTGGAGATCCAGCCGGTCCCATTAATCCTGGTGGTCCAGGTGGACCTATAAGACCCTGAAAATATATCAAAAGATTCCTTTATATCATTTGGATACAAAAATTCTATTTAAACATATTATTTAAACATATTATCATGAATCTATTATACATATTACCGTTAATCTTAAATTCATATTTTTTAAGCATCTTCAGAAATGCTTCAAGAAATTCCATTCATATTAAAATAAAGTGTTTATACTTAATTTTAAAAAATACGCTAACAACAAACAAAATAAATACAAATAATTTTTTGAATGCAATTCAAAAATCAGATTAAAGTAATTAACGTTAACAAGAACAATTATCAATACCATATTTATTTTTAAGCAAAATCACCTTGTTTACATTAGCAGCAAAAAGTAAATAAATAAAACATAAAGCTTTACTTCTGAGCCACATTATCCGCAACCAAAAAAATAATTTAAAATTAGGGATGAAACGAACAGTGATTTGGCCGAATACCGAATATTTGGCAGCCGAATAGCAACTATGTTTTAAAAATTATTAATAAATATTATTAATGATTTTAATTTCGAAGTTTGGTATATTGTTGACAAGGTAATAAGTGTTTTATTATAATTCTTTTTTTCAAATGTTAAGCTGCACAGCAAGAGCCACTTCGAGTTTAATACTTCGAGTTTAAGACGAGTTTTAAATGAGTTTAAGACTTTAGTTTAAAACTCATTGTGAACACAAATAATGAAAAAGGTAGCAAATTTTATGCATACAAGAAATATTATTCAAGAGAGTCTCAAAGTACAAAGAACACGTTGTTAAAGACGAGCTTTAAACTATTTTAAGACTTTAGTTTAGAACTCATTGTAAACACAAGTAATGAAAAAGGTAGCAAATACTATGTATACAAGAAATATCTTCAAAGTACAAAGAACACGTTGTTTAAAACGAGTTTTAAACGAGTTTAAGACTTTAGTTTGGAACTCATTGTAAACACAAATAATGAAAAAGGTAGCAAATACTATGTATACAAGAAATACTACTTAAGAGAGTCTCAAAGTACAAAGAACACGTTGTTAAAGACGAGTTTTAAACGAGTTTAAGACTTTAGTTTAGAACTCATTGTAAATACAAATAATGAAAAAGGTAGCAAATACTATGCATACAAGAAATATCACTCAAGAGAGTCTCAAAGTACTAAGAATAAATTGTTTAAGACGAGTTCTAAACGAGTTTAAGACTTTAGTTTAGAACTCATTGTAAACACAAATAATGAAAAAGGTAGCAAATACTATATATACAAGAAATACAACTCAAGAGAGTCTCAAAGTACAAAGAACACGTTGTTTAAGACGAGTTCTAAACGAGTTAAAGACTTTAGTTTAGATCTCATTGTGAACACAAATAATGAAAAAGGTAGCAAATACTATGTATACAAGAAATACGTACCACTCGAGAGAGTCTCAAAGTACAAAGAACACGTTGTTTAAGACGAGTTCTAAACGAGTTTAAGACTTTAGTTTAGAACTTATTGTAAACACAAATAATGAAAAAGGTAGCAAATACTATGTATACAAGAAATACAACTCAAGAGAGTCTCAAAGTACAAAGAACACGTTGTGAGCCAAATGGCACCTGAATCAGTAAACCGGAAGTATAGAGAGTAAAGAGCCTGCAGCTCTCTCTAGTGTATAAAACACCATCCATATTCGGCTAACCGAATATTCGGCAAAAGGGCCGAATACCAAATAGTGGTCAAACATTCGTTACATTCCTACTTAAAATGAGATATAAATTATTCACAGAAACTCATATTTTATATATCAACCGCGATGGCTCAGGGGATAGAGCGTTCTCCTTCCAATGAGGCGAACCGGGTTCGAATCCCAGTTGATACCAATTCCGCCTCCGGCTTGCACTGACTACAGTGCTGACGTGAAATATCCTCAGTGGTTGACGGATCATGGGTTAGAGTCCTCTTGCCATCAGGCTAACCGTGGGAGGTTCTCGTGATCTTCCTCTGCATGTAACGCAAATGCGGGTTAGCTCCATCAAAAAGTCCTCCACGAAGGAAAATTTCCCCTAATACTCGATCCAGGAGTTCCCTTGTCTTCTGGTTTGGGTTCGAAATTACAAGGCTACGTAGTTGAACTTAAGCAGTCGTATAATTTGTTTTTCTCCGAACGCCGCCTGACGAGGGCGGGAAGGGGTTAAGCTTTGATTAGCAGTCATAAACCCATGAGATTGGGTCGGCTGTTCAACGACGGTTATAAAATAAAATATCAACAGCATAACAAATATCATACATATGTGCATGCTTCATAATATACATTGAAAGCTTTTATATTGCATATTCGTTTCTGTTATAAATTTCAATGTAGTTCAATTATTTCAAATAAAAATAAATAAGAAATATTTAAGTACAAAAAGAAATAACTAGATTTCAATTGAATGAAAAATTCAAACACTTTAAAGGCTTCAAAATAAATTTTCTTCATTTTTTTGCTTTACTTTGATAAGTTTAATTGATATTAAGGTGTTTGATTCCTTCCCGATTTCAGTACGTAAAGAGCATGACACCGAATTTTTGAACTCTGAATTAACGATAACATATTGAGTTATGAATTTTATATTAATCATGTGAATTTTGTGTTAGCCAATCACGTTCCTTCTTAATAAAACAACAGCCTTACCTTCTCTCCTTTAGATCCAGGAATTCCGTGAGGTCCAGAATAACCATCTGCCCCTTTTCTGCCATCTTTTCCTGGTCCTCCAGGCAATCCAGAGAGCCCTCTATTACCTTTATCGCCTAAAATATACTTATTATTACAAATATACAATAATTACTATTACAAATATGCATAATTTATTATTACAAATGCATGTTTATTATTAAAAATGTTCAAAGTTTTATTTCATGGTAGGAAAAAATAAGTTAGTTAATAGAATTGATACATAACTTCGTTGACCTGTACATACATCCATTATTATTATTATCTGAAGAAAACTAATTCATATCGTGTTCAAACTTTGGTTGCATTAAGTTTTGTGTTTACTATAGTTTTTGTATTAAATTTGAGCGTTTTTGATGAGATCTTTTAATGTATATAAAATAAGAGTTTTTGATATAAAAATTCGCAAATTTAAATATCTATATAATAATGTCTCAATTACATTATAATATTGAAATAATTCCTATACATCCTACGCAGTTTTCCAGATTGAATAAACAATGCTAAAACGATGGAGTAACTAAAAAAATAATTTTTTGAAAAAAACTGAACTAACACATATTTGTCTTAAAGTGTTAATAATGTAAAATTTTTCCCCATCTTTTTACTGCATGGAATGATATTTCAAATGAGAAATATGCATTATTGTTGAAGATATTATTCATATTGTTATGGAAATATGCTATTTCATTTAGTCTCCAGCGATACTTTGTTTTAAAGCTCGATTTATAACAAACAAAAAAAGTCTTAAGTTAAAGAAACTACAACGTTTAATAAAAAAATATACTGAAAAAACTTATGGAATGGTAAAAAAAATTAACATCCTGAGTGCATCATCTGTAAAATTCGCTTTACTGTATAACCCATTTTCAAGAAAAAATTTTATTTCATAATTTTTACAATATTTATTTAATCACAACGGCTTAGTGATTTAGAGGTAAAAATTGCTGTAATAATTATGGCATGTCAGATTTTTTTCAACAAAGGATAGTGCTATGTAGATATGCTATACATGTAAGCGAAAAACAACGTAAATAAGGCAGAGAATTTGTACTATTGTTTATTGTATTTTCATTTGTCCTCCCTTCATGTTGTTTTTTGCTTTAGTCAATTTTTCTTACGAAAATTTTACGGTGAAATAGATTTTACCACTAAAAGTACCGGCATCCTACCTTCCAGTACTTTTTACCTGAATTTTTTACAGTGTACCACGTTAATAAAGCACCAGGGTTTGCAAAAAAATAATAATTTCTTTTTAAAATGATATGTAAATTTAAATTTAGTTAATACAGAAAGTGAAAAATATTTGAAGTGAAACAAAATTATTTTTTGTTGATTAATTATGTGCAGAGGAGAACTCTAACAACTATTTGTACTGCGCATAAAATTTCTTCCTCCCAGTTAGCAAGCTTCCATACTTATTTATTTATTTATTTAATTTTCTTAGTGAATGCAAGAATGCCTGAAAATGACGTTGTGTGGGTATCTCGATCCTGATTGGTTGCTGAATTGTGGCATTTGTTTACGTTGGTAACTGTTCTTTCCATTCTATTTCGAGCAAGTCAAGCACGATAAGTATCAATTCTCTTAACTGACGCATTCTATATTCTCACACAAAAATTTTATTTCACTATATATTTCTTATTTAACACCAAGACTGGCATGAAGCCACGTAGAACATAAACAAACTAATTATGCATCAAAGTTGCTAAATGCACATAGCAAAAATACATCATAGTTACGATATATTAAATAAACAAATAATAAATCTAAATTAAGTAAAAGATGTAGACGAGAAAGAACTATATTTTAACAAATTTGATGTGCTTATTAACTTATGTGGAGAAAACGTTATAGGTCACATGTGTGGGTATTTGTGATATTCTTCTTGAAGTGGAAGTACCCAATTACACATTTAGAAAACTGTTTTTAAAACGTTGAATTGCTGCATAAAATCATTGGTTCAGAAATGTAGATACATTATAAATTTGACATTATAAAATAAATTTTTATTATTTTTTGCAATTAGAAGCATTTATGTTATGAAATTATTAATACAATTTAAAGTTACAGTACATTTTTCACAGAGTAGTAAATTTAATAGAACTTTTACAGAAACGAAAAAATTTGTACTAAAAATGCGGAAAAGCAAAATTTTAAAACTGAAATTTATTTTAAAATAACTATTCATTGTGCCTGTGCTGCTATTTTTACACAAAAATTAATATCGATATTAAGAACAAAACTTTCTTCTTTTAACATCAATTCTTATCTTCTTTAGTGTGATTATAACTTATAAGGTGTTCTTTAATGACTACCCTTAATACATATCTTTAGAGTCCTTGTCAAGTAAGAAATGAAATAAATATACACGTTAGAAATTGCAAATTCAGCCTGAGAGAAACAAAAATGTTTTACAAATAAAAGGATAGTCTGATAAAACTTGGAAGCGTTTCCATTAACCACTTTTTTCCCTTTTTTTCTTTTTACTACGGTAATCAAACAGGTTTTGATGTTTTCAATCCCATCTTCCTCAATAATTATTCGGGAAATTTCGATAACATTTTTGTTTTTCCTCGCTAAAATAATAGTTTGTAACCGCAATTTGTAAAATTTTCTGTCCTCACATTTTAAGAAGATTTTATAAATATTTAGTATATTTAGAAGCAAAAACTTTAAAATACACACTCCTAATCCAATAAAATTCCCCTATAAAGATACTCTTAACGCTGAATGTTTTCTCTTAACGTTAAACGTTGAACGTTTTTATCAAAAAACGCAATTTTTTTGTTTGCATAATATGGTCCGTAAAAACTTAGGCTGTAAAAATGACGCAATTTTTAAATTACTTGAATAATATTTTTTGAAAATGTGCTAACAGTTTGCTCGTGTAAAATATTTAAAGACTTTTGCCGTCTGAGAAAAACGTTATCATAAAGTAATAATTTTATTTTAATATTATATTTATTTTATAATGCATTTATTTTATAATTATTTTTTCATACATATACTTTTAGTCATACAATTATTTTTAACACACAATTTATTTTTTGCCACATGCTAATTTTTCTTTTTTAAATTTTTACTCATGCTAACAAAAACTTTAACTAGTAACAAATCATTATGTTGAGCTTTGAAGGTCAGCCAGTTTAGGAAACAAAAAAATAGGTTTAGTAAATAGAAGAATTCAGATCTTCAAGAAGCATTCTTACCAGGAATACCAACTACAAGATCTTGACCGACAAATGCAGGTTGTCCTTTGTCTCCTTTACCTCCAGCAGCTCCAGGTGTCCCTGGCAACCCCTGAAAAAAATTCAATAAATTAAATATGAAAATGAAATAATATTTGAGAATATAAGGAAAAGTTAATCATAATTAAATGCATGAAAAAGCATAAAATATTTTCAAAAAAAGAAAGAAAGAGACTTTTTCTGATAATGTTAAAAATTTTATATGTTTGCACTTATAACGAGATTTTTAATAATTTTGTCAATATTGTTATTCATTAAAAAAAGGAGATAATTATTGTTGAAAAACGCAGATAAATACTTCTAATCCAGGAGGTCCTGGAAATCCAGGTAATCCATCATCTCCTTTGTCTCCTAGTCGTCCAGACTGACCAGGAGAGCCTCTGTCACCTTGTGATCCTGGTATTCCATCAAATCCTCTCTCACCTTTTTCTCCTTTGGAGCCTGGAGGACATTGAGAACAGCTACCGCCCGAGTCTCCTAAAAACAAAAGCGAACAAACAAAAAAATTAAGATTGGTTTAAATATAAATGTACAATGGAGAAAGGAAACTAGCTTAACCTTTTTGTCCTCTTGGTCCTACAGCTCCAGGTCGGCCAGGTTCGCCTCTTAGACCTTTATCCCCTGGGATTCCAGGCACTCCAGGAATTCCAGGTATTCCTTCAGATGAGTCACCAGGAATGCCTTGATTGGTAGAGAAAAATATTTTTTTAAACTAAATATATTCGCGTAAATATTAGTTCACTCACTAATTTTAGTTATCATTACTTATTTTCTGATACATATTTTTTCCTCACAGCTAGTAACCAAAATGGAGCTCTTTAAATAATAATTTAAGCTAATTATTCAGCAATAATGACAATATTGCTGAATAAAGCTTTTGTTGAGCTTTTTAAATGAAATCTATGATTTTTTGTAAAATATTGTCCTGAACTTAATATAGGTGGTAATTAATTTTTTAAAATTAGCTTTTTTTTACCAAGGCATATGCAAAACTAATTCAATTCGACAATTTTATTTGTTTATTACAAATCATAGGTATTTAATATTTGTATGCAAAGTGTTCGAAGCGTTTGCAAATTTGTAAGCTGGATGTGCTAAAACTATTTTTTAAAAATATTTAGGCATATTTAATATTCATTTTATCTATATTCTGTTTTTATAACTACAGATAAACCTGATTTGGAAAAAAAGAAATCATTAGAAAAAGAAAAAGTACATCGAGTCATGTAATACGGGCAAAAATACGTTAAGAATTCAAAAAAAGAATTTTAGTATAAAATTCACGATCAACTGAGTATTTTTTAAGAAAAAACTTATGAAATATCTTAGTTAATGAGAGGCAACTATGACCAGTATGCCATTTAAGGCCACTCAAGGAGTTTTTAAAAAATTTTGATTAAATTTAAAAAAAAAAATTATTATGGCATCATAAAGTAATATACTCAATGGTTTAATGAGTAGAAAAAATATTCAAGTACGAATTTTTGCATAGTTCTTTTGGTAGTCCTCTGAGTGATTCCAAAAAACCTCTGGAGCGTTTTCTCAAAGCTAAAATTTCAAAAAAGCAGTATTCTTTCTTGGCATCATTCCAATTGAAAATTTTTATTGCATTTCCTCTGAAAAGTATTTAATATCTTTATCGCAGTTTTTTGTCATGTTATAAACAATTTTCTGATAGTTTTGTATTTAAATTATCTTTCTTTCTTTAGGCCTGTATAAATAGACAGCTATCCCTATCCGCAAAAGTAAAGAATAAAAATAGCTCTAAATAAAAATAGAATATGCATAAAATAACTTACCCCGATCACCTTTTATTCCAATAAAACCTTTCTCTCCAGATAAACCGTCCATACCAGGACTCCCATCAAGTCCATCAGAACCTGGTATGGGATAACCAGGTGTGCCTTTTGGACCAGGCTCCCCTTTTGGACCAGGAACACCTGTGAGGCCTGAAGAACCAGTCGAACCAGGTGACCCAGATGGACCCGGATCTCCCTTGTCTCCTTTAAGACCGGGTGGACCTTCTCGGCCTGGAAGACCTACGTCTCCTTTTCCTCCGGGTAATCCTGGAAATCCTTTAGGTCCAATTGAACCTAAATTAAATAAGTTTTAAATAAATATGTAGTGGTATGATTTTTTTTATTCCCTTTTATAGACCTGCAATAATGTATTTCAAACAAGTAAGCACCAAATGTTTAAAATTTTGTTATTAAATTAAAGAGAAAAAAATATATAAACTAGATAAAAACAAGTTACCAGGTAATCCATCAGCTCCAGTTACTCCTGGTGGACCTAGGAAACCTTTCGGCCCAGGTGGTCCGGGCTCACCTGCTCTTCCTTCAATACCCTAGGTAAGATAAATCGAAATACTTTCCTTGATAAAATATAACGATGCTCAAATTTCGTCAAATAATAATTGGAAAAACAAGTATATCATTTATTTAACTGCAAAGAGTTTAATTTATGCTAATATTTATTTTGTGTTAAATATTCTAAAATTACAAACCAATCAGTGCAGGTAATTTTGTTAGAAATTAGAGAATGAAAGGTCCTTAACCGAAAATGACCAGATAGTTTGTCCACATAGTGTAAAAGTTAACATCGATAAGTAAAATTCGGCAATACATACAGAAGGCTTTAAATTGACCAGCAAAGTATTAAATTAGTAATATTTCACATATTACCTAGACGTTATATAAAATTATTTATTAAAAACCGACAAACTATAAAACAATTAATAGTTCACACATTGGCAAATGATCTTAAATTATATTAATAAGATGATTCAATTAATAAGTATTTGATTAATAATTAATTTATAATTTAATGAATATTTAATTTATAATTTAATGAATATTCAATTTATAATTTAATGAATAATTAATTTATAATTTAATGAATAATTAATTTATAATTTAATTAATAATTAATTTATAATTTAATTAATAATTAATTTATAAATCAAATAATAATTATTTAATTAATAATTAATTTATAATTTAATTAATAATTAATTTACAATTTATTTAATATTTAATTCATAATTTAATTAATAATTAATTTATATTAATAAGATAAGTGAAATTTAGAATGAAAATTATAAGCTTTATCAAAACAATGCAGCCCTATTTGATAAGAACAGTGATGAAAGATATTGACCACTTAAAGAAATTCATTTAGAAGTAAAAATGTTTTAAATGTTTGGTTGTGTAGAAAATATACTTTAAAAGTTAATATTACACAATTTCAAAGTTCTTCAGTCTTTTTCTCCTCCTTACGAAGACTATTCATTAATCTTTTTTCAAAGTTCTTCCCCATGTTAACATAGTTTAGAAAACATTTTCTTTACGAATGGAACACTGATTAACCATCAGAATTTTCTTCACTTTATGCCTAACAATTTTTATGAGATTGTACTATGAGATTGATAATGAGATTGTATTATTTCTTTACGAATGGAACCCTGAGTAACCATTAAAATTTTCTTCACTTTATTCCTAACAACTTTAATGAGATTGTGTTTAATTCATATTTTTAATATTGGGATTGACAGATTTTTTTATTGTAAATTTAAGGTTGTATCTGAGTCTAAATAATTACACAGTTTGTCCAATTAGTATATATAACTGTTAAGCTTATAATTCTATTAATTTATTTTAGAAAAATTGCAAATGGTTTTTAAATTTTTCTTTCAAGTGTATCATTTAGAATTTTTTTATAGCTTGCTGAAAGTTTTCTTCAATCTATAAATATCTTTAATATTATAATAACTCAATTTTTAAGACTATGTTAATATTATATATTGGGTTGTTCGGAAATTAATTTCATTTTTCCTTATGAAAATGAAAGATGATTTTCTTATAGTGAATAAATATTTCATTGAATTTTATATTATCCACTCTAATTCCATACATTTTACGATCTTTCTGGCACTAGCATGAGTTCTTGCTCATAAATTTTTCCTTTTTCAGTGGCCAAAAACTGATCCAGGTGATTTTTGACCTCCTCATTTGAAGTAACGGTATCATCGTCTGAAGATTTTTGTAGAGACCCGAATAAATATTGTAGACAACCTATTTCTCGTCCCCTGTGATGATGCCTTTCAGAGATGGATACATTTCTTGACATCTTGAGAAGCAAATCACAGATGTCTAATTGGATGTCATAAATTTCTTTCCATAACAACATAAGGAAATGTCGAACTTTGAGAATAAACCTAGGCGTTTCAAATGAGTATAAACGATCGAATTCGACAAATTCAATCTCTCAACGATCTCAATTGTTGTTATTCATCAGTTTGCATTAATTAATGCTTTTATTGAGTCTTCATCAGCCTAAGTCATCTAATGCATTTTCATGCATCTTAATCGAAATTATGTCGGATTGAAATTGTAGTTGTTGTTGTTGTTGTAGTTAATTTACTTCGCTCTAGAGCTGCACGATGGGCTATTGGCGACAGTCTGGGAAGCACCCTTGAGGTTGATCCGAAGACATGCCATCTCAATTTTGATCCTCTGCAAAGAGGATGGCACCCCCTCTTCAGTAGCCCGACGACCTGCACGCGAAGTCGAGCACTTTACGGTAGAACAGTTTAACGAGGAATGATCGATCAGTCCACTTAACGATCAGTCCACTGCAGGACGATTGAAATTGTGAAAAACAGTTTTGGCACTGGCGTTTTGTCAATACATCTCCAAAAGGGTCGGGATACCCAAGTTGGGAGGGCGTTGGACTCATGTTCGAGAGAACGGGAGTTTGAATCCAACCGGTCGAAGAATCCCCGTGTGACTGGTGCACGTTAAATTTGTCAGGGCCATAAAGTCCTCCAACAAATCAATACCTCTGGGGCTACTGCTCCAGAAGTTCCCTTGTCTTCTGGATTTGGTTCAAAATTACAAGGCTACAGAGTTGAACATTGGTAGTTGTAAACCCAGGATAGGGTTGGCTGTTCAATGACGGTTATAAAATTAAAAAATACCTCTGCTTATGCATCAGATAATTTTTTAAGCAGCATTTTTTCCTTTTCGAAAGTAATGTAGCAAAAATATGCCATAAATTCTGCTTTTCACTTTCCATATCTTAAAGGGCACTAACCAAATCGTAATTTACTAACCAAACTTAGGTAGAATCATTCGAATTTTTTCACAAGCAAGACTTAATCTATCAGCTGTCAAAAGATATAATGATTATGCAATTTTAGTGTAAAGTTGGTTGTGAAAAAACATGCTTAAGTCTGCTGGTAAAAACGATAATACTTTCTGGACAACCCAATAATATTGTGTTATGTATGTAAATGTTATTTTATTAATGATTTTCTATTTATATGTTATTTTTCAGTAATGTTTCCTCTAACACGTAATACTTTATTTATGGTGATTGTTTTTATTAAAGTTACTTACTCCAGGTAAACCGGGAGGACCTTGAAATCCCCTAGGACCATAAGAACCTGGTTTCCCTGGATCTCCTTTCAATCCCGGTAAGCCATCATATCCAGGTAATCCTTCGTTTCCTCTGTCCCCCTATTTAATAAATATACAAATTAAGGAAATCAAATATTTTTTAATATAGAAAACAAAATTTTGATAAAATTCAATAAGTTTAAAAAAATTAATTTTTAAATTATTTTGTATGAGCAATTATCACAAAAAAGTTTAATAATCAACTAATTATTTTAACAAAAGCGTACGAAATCCGTACTAACTAAAATTTTTTAAAAATATGGCCTTTAATAAATTATTCACAGAGATTATCAAAATCATTTATTTTCCAAAATCAAAAGACATGAAACCATAGCCGTATCAAATTAATTGATTAATAAACATTTAAAATAAATTGAAAACTTTCTAATTGTTTTAATAATATCGTTCTTCCTGTTTTCTCTCAATTTTATTTAAAGAAAAATCATGCAAAAAATCGATTAAAAAAATTATGAATAACTTAAGACAAATTGCTATGCTTAAATCATGACGCGTAATTTAATACACAAAGCATGTTTAATGGCATTATTAAATACGAGCATTGATTCAATTTTTAAGGAATACTGTAAAACAAGCATTGTATTTCATAAAAATTTTATTTATTAAATAGTGCTTGATAATACATGAAAGAGAATAACACCAAAATAAATGTATGACAATAATACATTTTATTCAAGTAGAAAACATTTATTCAAATAAAATTAATTTTTCATTTTATAAAAAGAAAAATATGTGATGTGTAAGAGAAAATGTGATATTATATATACAACTGCTATTCCACTAATGCGTTTTTAAAAAAATTTAACTACGGAAATTACATTATTGATACGCACTTATGACACTTATTCATGATATAATTAAGCAATTATGTCATTTTTAAAGGAACTATATAATAAAAATATGATAGAATTACCTTAAATCCTATTTCACCAATTGGCCCTGGAATACCATCATTTCCCTAAAAGAGAAATTTCATTTAATGAAAATGTCATTTATAATAATCAATCAAAATACAATAATATCTATCTTACCACTATCGAAATTTACTTAATATTTCGATAGTGAAGGTTGTCTGCTTAAAGCGTAATTTATATAATTAATAAAATTAATAAATTATTGAAATAAATGCATTATTAAAATAAATAAATTATTAAAATAAATAAATTATTAAAATAATAAAATTATTAAAATAATTAAATTATTAAAATAAATAAATAATTAAAATAAATAAATTATTAAAATAATTAAATTACTAAAATAAATAAATTATGAAATTTAATTAAAATAATTATTGAAATAAATTTATTGAAATAAATTTATTAAAATAATTATTGAAATAAATTTATTAAGGTAATTATTGAAATAAATTTATTAAAACAATTATTAAAATAAATTTATTAAAAAAATTCTTTTGAAGTTGCAATTGCTAATGTAGTTTGCTTGCCAATGCCTTGCCTCTTGTGTAGAGAAAAAAGGCATGTTGAGGGCAATCTTTAAATCGACAAGAATCTGACGCTTACATGCGCATTGAATCTACCTGAAACTGAAATCCCTGCAATTGGTGCGAAATGGAAAATTATATGTTTAGCTTCACAGTAAATAGAAATTCAACAAACTATCATTTGGGTTCATTTATGTTGTTGTTTCTAATGCCACTGCCCAATATCAGCAAGCCTGCTTGGTGAAACCAAGAGAAATTAAAAATTTTATATTAAATTTTAAAGTGCCTTCTTTTTACTCAACACAGTTTATTTTAGAATTTATTATAAAAAATTTTAAAAAGTAGTTTGTTGGACCTTATTTTAATTATTATCAATAAAATATATGACAGGAAACTAGTTTGTTCTGTTTACCAAAATATTTTTTTTTCTCAACCATAGACTGTCGAAACAGTTTCAAACTTAGTTCAAGCTAGTGTAACCCAAAACATTTCTTAAAGCGTTTAGTTTTTATTCAATCAATATTTAAATTTCCAAGATTTCAACTCTTAAAAACTCTTTTTTTGATATGAGAAAACAATTTTTGTAAAAATACACGAAAGAACAAAAAATCTTTCGAATCAGCAAAAAATATCGAAATGCACATATTGTTATAAGTATTATGAGATATTAGCATTTCCGTAACTTGTATACATTACATAACCAGTATGAAATCAGTTGATTTATCTCGACTTATTTCATTATTTTGATTCGTAACAGCAATTTAAAAATAGAGCTTTGATATTAATACCAAAGAAAAGGATAGGTGTTAAAATTTCTAAAAACACATACATATGCTAAAAAATAATTATGATTAATTTTAAAAAACTTTTATTTGACCTTATCCTTTATAGAAATAACACAGTTGTAGCTGAAATCAATGATGATGCAATTATGATATAAGGCAGGTTAAAAAATTTGTGTAGCCTAGATTTAATGGGCATATTGTCATTTTCGGTCATAAACTTTACTCTACTTTGTTTTCTAGTTATTATTAGAAGCTGCGTTTTAGAGCGTCATTTGGTAGACACTTTAATAATTCTATATAATTTTTTGGCACAAAGGAGAACACTGATATTAATATCAGTTCAATGGATATGTGTCAAAATTTCTAATATACACATGCTAGGAAATATTTCTAAAACAATTTAAACGCTGCGCTTGAGGGATTCATTTAGTGGATACTTTAAAGATTACTTGTAAATTTTTGGTTCAAAACTGAACTTTGATATTAATATCAGTTCAGTGGATAGGTGTCAAAATTTCTAAAAATATATACACATGCTAAGAGATATTTCTAAAACAATTTTAACGCTGCGCTTGAGAGAGTCATTTAGTGGACACTTTAATAATTATTTGTAAATTTTTGGTTCAAAAGAGAACTTAGATATTAATATCAGTTCAGTGAATAGGTGTCAAAATTTCTAAAAATATATACACATGCTAAGAAATACTTTTAAAACAATTTTAAATTTTTATTTTTATCTCTAAATAGTTAGCACAGATGTCACTAAAATTGTTGATAATGCAATTATGATACGAGGCTGGTTAAAAGATTCTGTGTAGTCTACATGTAATTTCATGTGGCAAAATACAAAAGTCGAACGAAATCGGTTTAATAGTTCTTGAAAAAAGCCGCTTATTTAAAATTAGGTTTCTCAGGAACTATTTGACTGATTTTGCGCAAATTTTGTATTTTGCCTTTCAAAATGAGTTTCCTTGAAATCATAAAAAAAATTCACACCTTACAATTAAAAAAAAATTCTACTATCATTAAATAAAGTAATGAAACATAATAAGTAATTATTAAAAATTACTTTTTCATGACATAATCTTTGGATAAGTGAATTTTAAAATTGTGTGCAAATATTTCTCGATTCGCTTTAAAAGCTCTAAAGACATGCTGAAATATTCAAATTTAATAAAAATAAAATTAAAAAAAGAAAAAAAACGTTATGTATATTCAGATAAGATAAAGTGCGTTTTTGAGTTTCGATTCCGTACCTTAATTATTTATCATATTTGATATCACATTTTTTAACCATTAAGATTGAATCCTAGTCACTTAATCAAAAGTTTTTCACGCACTGCGCATTGAACTGCTTAATGGAAGAGAAAAATTATTAAATCATTTTTGTAAAACTATGCAATTTATGCCCAGTTTCTGTAAAACTACAATAATTTAAACAAAGGGCATAAGAAAATACTTACTCTAGCACCTGGATGACCCGGAAGACCCTTTTCACCAACCATTCCAACATCTCCTGGTGGACCCTATTAAAAGGATTTCACAATTACTTACTACTTACAGAATTACTACTTACTACTTACGGAATTTCTACTTTCAACTAAGTAGAAATTCCTCAGTATTACAAAAGTAATAATTTAACCACAGAATCAATGAAAATAATGGTGGCATTACAAAAATATTGCATTTATCTCCGTAACTAAAACGACGTAATTATTATGCTAAAGAATTATTATTTTACTATACTATGTAAAAATAAAAATAATAATTGTTTTAAAAAATCGTAAAAGCTGCCGTGATTCTTTGTTTGGAACTGAACGTTACATTTTGTTTCTTTATGCAAAGAAAAAAATTATGAAGATCTAGAGAAAAATGAACAGCAAGTACGATAAAAATAGAAAATGAACATTTGATAATTAGTTCGAAAATTATGACTTGCTAAACTTATAGTAAAAAATACTACGCGGGATGCTCTGCAGCCTGTGGAGATGCAACTATAGATCTGAATTGTAATTTTGTCATATTTACTTATGAAATTAGCATGGGTATTTTTCCAAATTCCAATTTGTTTGAAGCTTCTTTGCAATTTAAAATTCTCTTTTTTTTTAAATATTTTTTTCTCATTTCTCTTGCTTTAAACAAAGACCATTTATCTATTTTTTTAGGAAAATGTATTTATCTCGATCGAGAACATAAGCTCATGCTAGAGTTGATGCTGAAGGCAAAAAAATGGGAGATATTAGATGTTGCCGTACATAAACTTAAACATTTACATTGGAATTTTTATAAATATAAGAAACATAATTCTAGAGGGATAAAAACCATTTTCTATTTGAAATTATACAATGACATGATAATCATCATTAATAATTGGTATAAATCTCGTTAACTAGTAAAATTTCTTCTCATTTATTCATTTCTAATGCGTGACACGTCGGCATTCTTAAATTTAATTTTTTGTTTTTTTTAAATTCAGTTTATTTTTTGAGTCCTTGTAATCATTTATTCAGTTCGAGTTAACATTTTAACAAAACGTTCTTACGCAGAATAATAATATCTAATTAAATATAATATCAATATGTAATTTATTAACAGAAATTTCTTATCGTTTTTTAAAAGAAAAACAAAGATAAATGCAAAGCAAACTAGGAGGTTGATAAGCGGAGCGAGCAAAGGCGGAGCCTCCTAGATATATACAAAATAATAAAAATGCAACGTTTTTTACCCATTTCAGTACATTTCGATATGGACAACATTAGTCACTAGATTTGCATCAAGATAATCAATCTCTTTTTATGGCTTGTGAAGCATCTCTAGAGTTAGTTTCAATTGAGGATCTGATTCTATGTTTCGCGTGGCAGATATCCATAATTATTTAATTTTAATGAACGGTTGGGACTTAATTCTTTAATTACATTTCAGCACAAGTTTTATTTTTGCTTATCTGGAAATTTTTATTGAGGCTACAAAGTTATAACCTTTATCGACCACTCTTAATATTTTAAAATATTTTTAAAGAAAATACTCCAATAAATTAAAATTCAGACAAAGAAAAGAGTTTCTTACACGTGCGTGATACTGAAGTTCATAAAAACAATTAAAACATTAAATTTCAGAATCAGCTCAATCAGAATCATTTGTATCAATCTAATTTACAATTTTTCTTAAGTGATTCCGTTCAAAAACAATTTTTTTCCTGATTTTTTTTAACATTTTACAGAGTAAATTTAATCGTCCATATTTGAAATAGAATGGAAATGGAAACATGAGTCCCTAAATTCTGACGTCCCATAATTTGTTTTCTTAAATTTAAGTAACTTTACTGAAAAAAATTACTTTAATGCTTTTTGGAAAGATCGTGAAATTATTGAGCCACGAGCTGATTGCAGTTTAATTATTGAGTCATTGTTAAGCGATTCTTCCCAAAAAAACACTGAGAAATTTTTTTTTCTTTACTCGAACCTAGCAAATGAATGAGTTCATTGATTTCGTATTTTTACGAATGAATTCCTTTTTTTAATGGTTCCTTTCAGTTCCTGTTTTGTATTTGTTTGGTTTTTTGCCTTTATTTCTAACAAGACAAGCATTTTGTATTTATATCAGAATTACAAAATTTGTTACAAAATTATAAAACTGCATTACAAAATTTGTTGTTACTTACTGCCACTCCAGGAATTCCATCAAAACCTCTATCACCCCTTTCCCCTGGTTCACCCTGAAAAACAAGTAATTAATAAAAAAAAATTCGAAAACAAATTTATAAAATCAAAAAGTAGTAGAATTTGTTTACTTACTCTATATAAATATAGTAAAGCATGTAGAAATAAAAATGTGATTTGAAATTAGAGTATAATAAAAAATAATTGTAAGTAATAAATAATAAATGTTATATTTATTTTGCGATGATTCGTAAAGTAATAATTATTACTGATATAATAAAAGGAAACGTTGCAACGGGACATTTTTTGTAGATGGGAATGATAAAAAGGAATGAATTACAAATCAGTCCAGGCGTACAAAAATATTTTAGCCATTAGATTTGGCACAGAGACAATTCGAAAAACTGTTAGTATAAGTGTCTAAATTAAATTTTAAATAAATATCAGATATAAATTATAGTTTAAAGACAGCATAAAAAAATTAAGAGCATTTTAATTTACTAATTTTAAAGCTAATTTTCTTAACAATAATTAAAATAAATTATTGAACGTATTCAAAGTAAAAAGACATATCAAATCAGACAGTATTTTTTTTTCATATAATGACATGAATATTATTAAATTATCAACATAATAGATTTTTCAAATTTCTTTGATTGATAGTATCATTATTTTTTACATCCCATTTATTATTATTTATTATTATTATTTATTATTATTATTTATTAGTATCATTATAATCTATTATTATTACTTATTAGTATCATTATTATACATTATTATTATTTATTAGCATCATTATTATTTATTATTATTATTTATTACTATCATTTTTATTATTATTTACATCCAATTTGTTCATCTGAATTTTTGAAACTAATTTCTCGTTTTTTGTTGTACTTTAATAAATTTAGGTAACTTAGAATTAATTTAAATTACTGCTTTAAGTCCCCTTTTTACTTCCGCATTTGTATATTTTTCATATTATTATCTTTCTGAATTACATATTTAACCGCATATTATATAAACTACATGTAATTGAAATTAAGAATAAAATACCATTAAAATAAATCATCAAATATTTTTAACCTTGGCACAAAAATTTCAAATTAGATCAGACTGAGATCAGATTAAATTACACTGAATTACATTTTTTGGCTATGAATTACATAGTGACATTTATTGATAGAAGTAGTAATGAATTCATTATTCTTGCCTTTGATCCTTTCATCCCTGGAAGCCCAGGTGGCCCTACAGTAGCGTTTTTTCCTCTGAATTGTGGATCGTCTGAACATCTTCCTGGAAGTCCTCGAGGTCCTGAGTATCCTTTAAGTCCCTTTAAAAAATATTTTCATGTTACATGAGTTCAAAATTAATCAAGCTGCACTGCATGACTAAAAAAAAAGTGGGGACACAAATTAAAATAAGCTATTTCTATAATAGAAACGAATGATTACGCATTTAAAAAAATCTGTTAGTCAGTTATTTTTAAACTAGGCACAAAAATTTCAAATTAAATCAGACTGAGATCAGATTAAATTACACTGAATTAAAATTTTGGCTCTGAATTACATAGTGACATTTATTAATAGAAGTAGTAATGAATTCATTATTCTTGCCTTTGATCCTTTCATCCCATGCAGAAAAAGCTTTTAATACTTTTTCTACCCAGGGATGTATAAGAAACTTTTAAATTTGAATTATTCTCTAAGTTTAATAATTCGTAGATATCACTTTTTTTTTACTTTTCATAAAATAGTTATTAGTTCAGCTTATTCTTGGTATAAAAATTAGTATATGGAATAATTTTAGCAATGTCTTTTAAAGCCTAAGAAGAATTAATAACGGTGTCTAATTTTAAATTATGCTATACACGAATATCAACAACATGCTGTCATGCAGGAATTATTATAAATAACTTTAATATTCTCTTATTTTCCACCATATTATTTTTTAGTACCGACCATTGCAATGACTGGTGCCCAAAGCTTGAATGAAGTAATGGACATGCTCCTCAGTATAACAATAAATATTTTGTTCAAATTATCGACATTTAACTACAATTTGAGACTCCAATAATTTCAAAAATTATTTGTATCAGTTCTTCAGCAAAGACTGCTTCTTTTAAGATAGCTTAATCGAATATTTGTTTTTTTCATTTTTAGTGTGATCTTCTCCAAGTACAAGAAAACTCCTAAAGATCTCTGAATATCTCTCAGACTAGTACTCGAGATATATGACCCTAGTGGGGTTCTACTTTTAAGGAAACATCATAGCTTTAGTGGAGTTAGTTTTAAGGAGAAACTTACAAATCAAGTTTAGCTCGTAACCACCTGAAGAGCCTCTTTACCTCTTTTATGAACAAAGACGAAATATTTTTAAAACCTGCACCTAGTGTAGTAAAGATCAGGGAGCATATGTTCTTATTTAGGGATGTCTTTAGTTTACCCTGAACAAGTTTTTTCAGAACTTTTCCTCTTAGACTGTTCGAGGTTTATGGACATGATCTAGTTTAGATACATAATTTTGAGGATCAGGAACAGCATTATTTGCCTTTAAATGCTAAGTCGTCAAAAAAATAACTTTAAATGAAATAGATAACATGGCTGAAATATATGTAGTTACATTTCAAGAATGAATAAAGTTATCACATTACAAAAGTAGTATCCTCGAAAATAATTTCTAAATAGTCGTAACCGAAGATTGATAAAACTGTCGGTGAAATACTGTTATTAAAATTTGACTCTAGTACAGACTAAAATTATTTGCATTTAAATGCAAAGGTGTCAAAAGACAAACTTTAGTTGAAATATATATACACAAAATTGAAACATAAATAGTGTTAACTTATTTCAAAAAGAACATGGCTGAAATATATGTATTTGCATTTCGATAATGGATAAAATTATCACGTTGAGAAAATAGTGCCCTCGAAAATAGTTCCTAAATAGTCGTAACCAAAGATTAATAAAACTGTTTTTGGAAATCCTTTCATAAAAATTCGACTTCAGAACAAACTAAAATTATTTGCATTTAAAAAATTAAAATATAAATGGTGCTAAAACTTATTCAAAAGAGAACATGACAAAAATATATGTAGTTACATTTCAATAATGAATGAAGATATTACGTTACGAAAATAGTGTCCACGTAAATAGTTCCTAAATAGTCGCAACGAAAGATAAATAAAACTGTTATTGAAATCCTGTCCTAAAAATTCGACTCCAGTACAAACTAAAATTATTTGCATTCAAATAGAAAGGCGTCGAAAGACAAACTTTAGTTGAAATAGTTATTTGCAAAATTGAAGTACTACAAATATATTACAAATATATAATTACAAAATTGAAATATAAATAGGGTTAACTTATTATTTCAAAGAGAATATGGCTGAAATATATGTAGTTACATAATGGTAATGAATAAAATAATCTCGATATGGAAATAGTGTCATCAAAAATAATTACTATATAGTCATGACCGAAGATCAGTAAAACTATTATTTAAATCTTATCATACAAAATAGACTGATATCACGCTCTGAACTATTAGTTAAATTATTTCATACTTAGTTTATTCGATTCCGTGATAATAAAAAAAAGAAAAATACATCGGAAACAATACCTCATTTGTCTAGACACCAATATTTAAGATTTCCCATTATTCTCTATTCTTTAAAAAAAATGTGTTTTTAGAATATCCCAAAACTGAAAGAAACATTTTATTAAATACAGGAAGTCATATTTAGAAACTTCAAATATATTTGCTGATATTAATCATGATGTTTTCGAAAATTACTTAGAAAAGATTAATTTTGTGAGCATAAAATAGTTGCTAAAAAATTTACTGGAAAATGGCAGAAGGAGTTTTAAAAAGAAATTAATAATAATTTTAATTTCCAAATAACGTTTCAAAATTAGTAATTTTAAATCATTTTGCGATGAAAGGTGTACAATTTAATCACCTTTTGAAAAAACACTTTTGAACCTGTTGTTACTATTTTAGAAATTTTCACACACTGACGTGACATAAGGAGATTGTTAATGAAATCTGATTTTTATTAGAAATTATTGCACCAATAGTACTTACAACAACACCCTTTTCTCCTTGAAAACCAACAGCCATGTTACCTTTTGGTCCCGGAAAACCAACATCTCCTTTTTGCCCCTATAAATAGGAAACATTTGTTAACTTAAGAAAAACATTCCCTTTGTAAGGAAATAACATTTTCTTTTAATTTTGTCTCTAACAGTAAAAATGCAATGAAGATGTTTTGATACAATTAGCATAAATATTTATAGAAACTAGTCTTGGTGTTATACTGTTGGCCCCTTAACAATCGGTTAATTTTCAAGAAAACGGTCATAAAAGCGCCTATTTTTTGGCCTTTGTATTTGTATTACGTACTTGATTAGTGCTGTAACTAGTTTAAAATAAACTAATTATCTACAATTACCTTAAAAATATTCTGTTACTGCCATCAGGTGTGTCAAAAGAGAAATAAAATGTTTTCCGGGCAGAAGAAATGAATTAGTTTTATTCTTATTGGCGCGTTACTACTGAACACTCCAGCCCGTCAATATCACGGGAGCGAGAAATAGCGGTTGAAAACTCACCCCGTCATTTTCACGGGAGCGAGAAAGAAGGGGTTAAGAGAAGAATGGGATACCTACAAGTGACACAGTGTGGGTAACTCGATCATAATTGGTTGTTGAAACGTGGCATTTGTTTGCAGTAGCAACTGTTCTTTCCATTCTATTTCGAGTGAACCAAGCCCGTCAAGTATCAATGCTTTTTAGTGAAACATTCTATATTCTTACAAAAAGATTCTTTCACAAAGATTTCAATTCTTTCACTATATAGTTTTTACTTATTAGCACAAAGACAGGCAAGAAGCCATGAAGAACATGAACAAACTAATCTTGATTCGAAGTTGCCAGGTACACAAAACAAAAATATCTCATGGTTAAAATAAAATTAATAATCAAATAATAAATCTAAGTTGACGTAGACGAGTAAGAATTATATTTCAATAAATTCGATGCGTGATACGATGCTGTATTTAATTAACTTCCCGTTGATAAACATTCTAACTAATGTGAAGTTCAGCTCAACTTCAACACGCCTTCCAATGAGGTGAACCGGGTTTGATTCCCAGCGATGACTGGCATATATGAAATCCACACCCGGCTCGCACCAACCACAGTGCTGACGTAAAATATCACCAGTGATAGAAAGATTATGGGTTAGAGTATCCTTGCCATCAGGCTCACCGTGGGAGGTTTTCGTGATTTTGCTTTGCATGTAATGCGAATGCGGTTAGTTCCATCATAAAGTCCTCCACGAAGACAAATTTCTTCCAATATTTGATCCAGGAGTTCCCTTGTCTTCCAGATTGGGCTTGCAGATTGGGTTCAAAATTTTAAGGCTACGGAGTTGAACAGTAGTAGTCGTAAATCCAAAAATCAGATGGGCTGTTTAACGGCAGTTATAAAATAACAATCAGGCTGGTACGGATGTCATAGATCACATGTATGAGTATCAGTGATCTTCATCCTCTTGAAGTTCAAGTACCAAATTGCGTTTTTTTTAAATTAAAAATGTCTTTATCATACAAGTACAGTTGATTAGTCAGAACTTTTTCTCCATGCAAGATAATTGCCTAATTAAACCCTATATTTACCTTCAAAATAATTTCCATAATGACTTTAAATTACTAAGATTAGAATAATTCTTTCATTTTTTTTTTTTAGTTAACTTTAAGTAAGGCGAATTTTCTCTTTCTTTTTGACTGAAGATATTTGAAATTAGAATATTGTCAATATTAATTCACAGTAAAAATTATTGAATGATATTTAAAAGCGGGTAGAATTTTCTACTAATAATTTAATGTGTACAGAAATTTTTACTTACTTTACAAACTTTCCCTTTAGCATATCTATCTAAAGGTTAATGTAATTTTCTCTAAGTTCCATAGCAATGAATTTAATTATTTATAATTATAGTCAGTTTTCTTAATAGCATGCATAAAAATAAATTTAATGTTTTTTAAACCAATTTTTTGAAGTTTTACTGAAAGATTATTTATGTTTCAAGGAATTTTGAATTCATGGAATAATATTTCAATTCAATTTGTGGTTTTATTCATTCGACAAAAAAAATTTTTAAAAATTAATTAATAAACCTAATAACCTAATAACCTAATCTATAACCTAATTAATTTAAAAATTAACTAACTCCATCTAAATATTATAAAAACCAAAAACAGAAATATTCAGATGATAAGTTAACTCAGATAAAATCAATAGAGAAGCAAATAAATTAAAATTAAAAATAATTTTTATGAATTACATAAACTCCTGGTGGTCCTGGATCACCTTTAGGTCCTGGTCTTCCATCTAAACCTGGCAAACCCTGGAAAAAAAACAGCTTCGTTATTTTTTTTTTAAATGTATGTAATATTTTTTTTAAAATAAATTTAATAAAAACTCAAAAAATTAATTTTAAAAATTAGTTTAATGAGTTGCGCATAATAATTTTTTTATTAAATTATAATTAAAAAAACAAGTGTAGGAAATTATAATATTACGTTAAATGCTTAAAGTTGCAAAAGGATAATTATACTGTATGTAAATGCTGTTAAAGAGCATTATAAAATTTCTGAATAGTTAAAATGCAACAAAACAAAAATTATATCAAACGAAAATGGTAAATTTGTAAAAATGTTAAAAGTAATACAACTCTACGTACATACCCTTGCACCTGGTATACCATCTCTTCCATGTTCTCCCTGGAACGAAAATAAAAAAATAAGTACTGACCAAAATGCCATGGATTATGTTAAGTTTAATAAATTCACTTATTAATTAAGAATATAATCTGTAAGTTGTAGTATAAATTGAATTTCTTGTACGAGATTAAAAGTAACTATAATTATTCTGTTTAGTTATAATTAATCAAAATTATCGTAATGTTTTCATGAAGTAATAAAAACTGATTTGGTGAATATAACCACACAAAAGCAGTGAGCCTTAAATCATTACTTCAGAAAAATACCATTTTTAGCCATACTTGAGTCCAACACAATAAGAACTCTCTTCACATTTCTGTGAGTTTCAAATNTTTGTAAAAATGTTAAAAGTAATACAACTCTACGTACATACCCTTGCACCTGGTATACCATCTCTTCCATGTTCACCCTGGAACGAAAATAAAAAAATATGTACTGACCAAAATTAATCAAAATGCCATGGATTATGTTATAGTGAATAAATTCACTAATTAATTAAGAATATAATCTGTAAGTTATAGTAGTATAAATTGAATTTCTTGTACGAGATTAAAAGTAACTATAATTATTCTGTTTAGTTATAATTAATCGAAATTGTCGTAATGTTTCCATGATGAAATAAAAACTGATTAGGTGAAGATAAACACACAAAAGCAGTGAGCAAATAATGCAGAAAAATGGAATGTTTAATGCAAAAAAATACCATTTCCAGCCTCTCAGCCATACTTGCGTCAAACACAATAAGAACACTCTTCACATTTCTGTAAGTTTCAAATTTACTCAATGTTCTTAAATGTACACACTGTTACAATATATAAAAATATATTAAAAAAGGAGTTCTTAAAAAATTTCTAAATGGTACTCTTGGTCAATTGAATAAACCATCAACTCAAAATATTTTTAAACATTTTTTTTTTTCTCCATGACAAGTTCCTCAATTTTTTCAGCATAAATAGAATTATTAAGACATATCCCCTTCAATTAAGATTTTAGTGGAAGCAAGTATTTAATTCAGTTAAAGATTTGAAGTTTGAGTGTTTTTTAAATATATAATTTTTTTCTGTTACTTACAAAATTACTAAGATATTTTAGTAATGTGTTTAAAAAATAGCAATAAGTTATGGGAAACAAAATCTCTTACTTTTTGACCTTTAGTCCCTGGTTGACCGTAGGAAGGCTCACCTTTATCACCTTTTGAACCTGGAGTACCAGGGTATCCGTCAGGTCCCGGACCGCCATCTACACCTGACCGACCAGGACGGCCCTGGAAGTTTAAAAAGATATAAGTTATAAGGTGAAGCGTAGCACACTGTTTGATTTCTAGAATGAAAATTTATTTTCATTACTCACCTCTTCTCCTTTGCAGCCATCTAATCCAGGGGGCCCTCGAGGTCCTGGATCACCAGGAGTGCCCTAAAATACAAAATATTTCTACTAATAATTGACTAGGTGATTTAAATTAGTCTAAATTTACAGTAATGATAATGTAAAGCACGAAAAAATCAAAATGAAATCGTTGCACTTTGAATAACTTCTGACCTAATGATTTGAATTTTACTTACCATGACGCAATTTCAACTTTAAAATTTTCTCGGAAATTTTTTTTTATAGCAATTTATTTCATTGTTATTTTACCATATTCAAATAAAACAGTCAAATAAACGTAAATAAGACTGTATTAAAATTGTTAACTGTGACAATAACAGTTCATTAACTGCTTTCACCTAATACGGTTAAACAACCAGAATTTTATCCCACTTAATGAAGCCATCTGGTTCCTAGCACATGGGTACATATTACAGACGAATGAGCTAATCTGTCATTCTAATGACCAACAGAACGGGGGTTCGTGTGCCATCGTTGACTCCCCAATATTTCTTCCACTTCCTTCAATACATGAAGAGTTTCCAGCGTTCCTGCACCCAATTTGTGACCCTGCGCTATTAGCATACGATATTCTCATTCACTCAAAGATCGTAACGCCATGAATCTGCTAAACTGTCTCCAAAGCAAATTTGTTTTACGGTTTGAAAATCATGATTGTTTTAAATTGTTTCAGCATAGTTTTGTATTCATATTTTTTTTAACCATACTAGTTGTAAATGGTTTAAAAAAAGTTCTTTATGGTAAAAAAATTTTTAACAGTGTTCGCGGTTAAGGAGGCTTTTTTCTTCAAACTAATTTAAATTATATCATACTGTACTCAATCTCAGATGCAATTTAAGTAACTAAGTCTCAAAAACAAACTTTTTATGGAAATGGATTTGTTGCGGATAAATTTCACGTAGATATTTATAAATATTCTCAAAACTGTTTATTTATCAAATTTTGAAAGAGTTTTAGTAAAAGTGTTTCGCGAAAATGTTCAAAGGCTTATTTGTTGAACTTTGAGTTAAAAATAATCTCTGGTTTATTAACAAAACTAAGAACTGAGTAGATTATTTAGCTAGCCGAAATAAGCTTTTCTAAATAACCGGCAGTAAATAATTGAGTATTTGCTAGGCTAAACTAAATAGGTATACCTCTGATTAACCCTTTGATAGGAGATGGGTCACTATTGTTTCTTTTATATATTTTTTCAGAAGCAAAATGTATTTTGATATTTTTTTTAATTGGAACAGCAATCTTATAGTTACTAAGAACAATCTGCTGGATTATCGGAATAATATTTTTACTAAAATATAAAATACAAAAAAGTAGTTAATTTTTTCCCGTTCATATTTAAAAATTTATTTTGTAAATAAAAAAAATTAATGATGAATAACTGTTTCTATTATATATTAATAACTCCAAATAATTTTTTTAAAAACAATTATTGCTTGGAAGCCTGCCGTGATTAGATTTTACCTTTAACGCAGAAAAAGACTCTGGTGTTTCATGCCGCATTTCTCAACCACCAATTATTAAAAAGCTAAATATAATGCTTTAGCTTATTTTGACAACAATTAATGTACAAAATATTGAAAAGTATGAAAAATATGTTTAATAAAAATTCTGAGTCAAAGTGATAAAATCCAAAGATTTTGTGTCATCCATTAAGAGAAAGCATTTTTTTCTTTAAAAAAATACAATGCAAAAGTAATATACGAATTTTAAGAAGAAAAAAAAATTAAGAAATTGTAATCTTTATTTTATTATAGTCTTTTAATTTTTGTAACTGCTTGTTTATAAAAAAAGGATAAAATCGTAACATACCGGAATTCCGTTAACTCCTGGAAATCCTGGCATTCCCATTTTACCCTAAAAGTAAGAAAGCATTAAGTTGTTTAAAATTTTATAAATGAAGACTTGAAAACATTGCAACTACATTGTAAATTGTGTAAACCAACCCTATCTCCTTTGGGTCCTCTTGAACCTTGAACTCCCAGTTCACCTTTTTCTCCTTTTGGTCCTATTAAACCTTCTGGTCCAGGGAAACCAGGTTGTCCTGGATATCCTTGTTCTCCTCTAACACCAGGAGGTCCCTACAAACAATATAAGTTAATTTCAACTGATTTAAAATTCTAAGTAACTACGACATTTAAAATAAGTATTTGATAATTTTGAATTCAAGTATAATGTCTTAACTATTTAATTTATATTGTTTATTGCCATTGTTATTGTATATTGTTATTGCATATTTTAATAAATTTTTATTTTTTCTGGAAGAACACATTTTAATTAACACTGAGGTTAAATTGAGGTTAACACTTTGGAACAAATTTATTCAAATACTTGATCTTTTAATTGATCATTGATATGTAAAGAATTACAAAACCACCTAATTTTTTAAATCAACATTTAAAATAAATATTTGATAATTTTGAATTCAAGTATAATGTCTTAACTAGTTAATTTTCATTGTTTATTGTCATTGTTATTGTATATAGTTATTGCATATTGTTATCAACTTTTATTTTTTCTGGAGAACACATTTTAATTAACACTGGGGTTAAATTGAGGTTAACACTGTGTAACAAATTTATTCAAATATTTGATCTCGCATAATTTGGCTGCTAGGATTTCAAATCTGAAATTAGTTTTCCTTTTAAATCAACAGAGGTTTTAAAATGACATTTTCAGCCTATTTTTTTTTTTTGTCTAGATGTACAAGTTTAGAAACATTGTAACAACAGAGGGTCCCGTAGATGTTGCAACAAACTTCTAGGAGAATAACGCAAATATCATCAAGATTAAGGCACAGGAACTCATGTCGTACGTGGCTAGGGTGCTACCCCATTATGACCTATTCATAATCACACTAGAAAACAGTTACAAGCAGGGAAGTGAGCCGCGATGACTCAGGGGATAGAGCATTCGCCCTCCAATGAGATGAACCACGCGATGGTTGGTCGAAACGTATCCGCATCCGGCTTGCACCGACCGCAGTGCCGACGTGAAATATCCTCAGTGGTAGACTGATCATGGGTTAGAGTTCCTTTGCCGTTAGGCTAACCGAAGGAGGTTCTTGTGGTCTTCCTCTTCATGTAACGCAAATGCTGGTTAGTTCTATCAAACAATCCTCCACGAAGGCAAATCTCTCTCAATACTTGATCCAAGAGTTCCCTTGTCTTCTGGATTGGGTTCAAATTTATAAGGATCCAGAGTTTGACATTAGCAGTCGTAAAGCCCAAAAAATAGGGTCGGCTGTTCAACGATGGTTGTAAAATAAAAAAAAAATGGGGAAGCTTCCCTAGCGGCTTATGACGACAATTCCGGGTATGGATTCCTAGGAAAATTTTAATCTTGATATGTGCTCTAACTTCCCTAGAATTTCGTCGCAGCATTTACGCGCCCTCTTTTTATATGTAACGTTTTTAAACCTATATATTTTGGCAAAAAATAAACTAAAAATGTCATTTAAAAAAATTGTAGCTTGAAGAGAGAAACCGAGTGCAAATTTGATATCAGAGACCTAAAAATATCCATGATCCGTTAAAAAAATCTTCTGCAACAGAAAATAAAATTTAAAAAAATGTTCTCCAGTGTTATGAGTAAAGCTTCTCAAAAAATATTTTTCAATACTCCTTTTAAAAACTATTTAATAAAACCATAATCATGTCGTATCAATATCATAATAACGGTATAAAGCAAAGAGCACAAGTAAAAGAGGAAAGAATCTTGCGTGATTGAAGCCAATATAATAAAACTATTTAGTTGCGTTTTAAACAACTTAAAAGTCTTTTTTAATTTGATCAAACAATATGTTTTCTATGCAGAAATATACTTTCTTAATGAACGTACATTGCGAATAATTATTTATTTTAGACTGAATAATATCCATTGAAGATTTCCTTAAAAAGTTATGGTGTCATCAAAATATGGAGGTCAACTAAGATTGTTGCTACAGTGTCAAGATATTTGTGCAATGCATAAATATAAGAATTCATCCATTCTAGAAAAACATGATATTTTGCTAAGTTATTAATAAAAAAGTTAGATGACTAGGAATAATAAAATTTCTTTTAACTAAAAATAACTTACTCGAGATCCCTTTTCCCCAACGCATTTACAGCCATCTCCTTTGCAACCAGCACATGCAACATAATTATAAGTTTGCTGTCTGCCAGATTGATCAGATTGCTAAAAAATAAAATATTATAAAACACACTAATACACACTAATTAATATAGTGAAACCTCTTGGGAGCGAGAACTCTCTGTTCCACCGTAAGATGGTCGTTAATGGAGGTTGGTCGTTCTAAGGAGTTACTTCCATTAACTTCAAGATGTTATTTAAGGTACATGATTTTTCGCAAAGAATTTTAATTTGCGCCATTTTCTTGGTGCGGAAATCCCACTTATGTTGGCGTCATGAAAATCGGATGGATGAATAAGTTTTAGCGTCAGTAAAAATGATCCCTACTGATATAATTATGTGGAAAAACAGATTTGCCAATCATGAATGATATAACTGTTTTAAATAAATAAAAAATTATGTTTTTTGTTTAAGTTTGTTAATTATGTGTTTTGTTATTCACTTAATTTTATATCAGGAAAATTAATTAGCTTTGAATGATGAGAAGAGGTTTGTTTGTTTGAGATGCTTAGTTTTTTTCCAATATAACTTTTTTTTCTTATTTAAATTTCAACTTTAAAAATAAATTTTTGAACAGCATCGTCTTTAGTGTATGCAATATGAGGTTGTAGATCTCTTTCAGAAAAAAAGCTCTTTAAATAAGAGCCTCACACAAATATTTTTAATATATTTCAATCTACTTATTTGTTTTGTTAATATTTTTGTTTTGATATTTTTTCGTGTTTCCTCATTTGGCCTTTTCCGCATTTGATGCATAAGTTTGTCCGTTCACTGGGAGAGGTTTTAATGGTCTCTCTTAAAGGTTTTATTCAACATAAAGTCTATGGAAAAAATTCCGTGGTTCCCAAAAGTGGTCGTAAATAGAGTGGCTCGCTACATAGAGGCTGTCTTTCCTGGAGGTTTCACTGTATATTGATTGATAACTGCATTACTCTGAAACTGAATATTAAACAAAAAACACAACTCATAGCAATTCGTTAAGGCAAGAAATAGTAATGTTTTTATCTGATCTAACATTATGTTTCAAAAGCACATGTTTGAAGAAAAAAAACCGGTTTCAGTATTTTAATAATCTCAAAAATATATGGTTTTGAGATTTGACTAATTCTATATTCTTATAAATTTCGCAACCTTTAACTGTTGAATTTTGATTTTAGGTAATTTATTTTTTTCTTTACTGATGTATAAGAGATAAAACGAAATTTTTTTTGATTAATGTTACTAATTATACTTTCAATGTCAATGCTCCATTAAATTTACCTTGGAAGGCATAATAAGTTTCATGACTTATCTGCTATTTTTTTCATTTAACTTGCTGTTATTTACGCTAATTTACTCTTATATGTAACAAAAATTTATTTAGCTGTTTGGTTAAACGATATTAATAAAATGTACTCAAATATTGCTATTGTTTTGTTCAGCAATGAATATGTTCAGAATAGAAATAAAGGCAAGTAAAGCAAATTCAGAGCAACAAAATATTATTTCGTTTTAAAACATAAGAATCTAAGTATGAATAAATGAGGAATCACTCATAAAAAGCCTGCGTTAGGAACAATGACAAAGAATGTGTGCTGAAGATCGAGGAACCTATTCTCTAGAACAGTGGTTACCAACTTTCTGCCTGCGGGCCGCACCCGGCCTGCGAAGCCTTTTTTTTTTGTGGCCCGTGAACAAAAATATATTAGTTTTCATTTTTTTGCGGACAATTTTCGTAAAAAGTCTATATGGGTGTAAAATACTTTTCTTTCGTTATAAAAAAAAACTAATTTCTTCGTTTCTGTGAAATTTAACATAATTAAGAATTCAACGGTGCAAAAAATTTATTTTTCAAGTTTTGCATCCAAGAAAATATTTATTATTATTTGTAATTCAATACTTTTGTTTTGTACAACTTGATAAAAATCTGACAGTAATATTTAATGTTCCTTCAAGCATAAAAGAGTCCTGCATAAAATTTTGACAAAGTTGTGGCCCGCCATTTGACTGGTGTTCTTAATTGTGGCCCCTGGCCTCATGTAAGTTGGAAATCCTTGCTCTAGAAGTACAAAATCGTAGTCCAATGCAAATGGCTAAGTAGTATATATCCTACTATTCCCATTTTATTGAGAAAAAAACTAATAGTGAAAAATTATAATTATTAATTACTAATTACAGAAAAAAAAATTTTTTTGATTGAAAACTTTTATTATATACTCATGGTCTTCCTCTGCATGTAACGCAAATACAGGTTAGCTCCATCAAAAAGTCCTCCACGAATGCAAATTCCTCCCAATACTCGATGCAGGAGTTCCCTTGTCTTCTGGATTGAGTTCAAAATTACAAGGCTACGGAGTTAAACATTAGCAGTCGTAAACCCATAAAATTGGATCAGCTGTTCAACGACGGTTATAAGAAAAAAATTATATCTCAGTTATTTTCCCAAAATATTTATTTTATTAGGTTTCTGTCTAAGATAAAGTAAATCTGACGACCACTATTACTCCGATTGTTGCATCCAGTTCAATTGTTCAACAAATGTCTCAATACGCGACTTCCAAATTGTTCTTTGAGGGAAAAAAAACAAGCCATGAATATTCAAATTTTTGAGGACCTTGTGAAAACACTACGCTTACTTCCGGCGACTTAGACATTACTTTTGCGTAGGCGCTGGTTCGGCCGTCTGAGCTTGAGCCGATGTGGGCGAATGACTCAAGCTCCAGTTTTGGAACTGAATTTTTTTTATTATTTTTTGTATCCTTTACAAACAAGACATTCAATTTATTGACTAGAGGGGAAAGAGCTGCACGAGAGGAGGGGGAAAACTCAACGTGTTTTTATTGTCGTGTTTATTCAATAATAATAGAGCAGGCTTTCCGCTTTTTTAAGATGAAGTGGGATAATAACTTAACTTTGTACAAATGATAAGAAGTCTGAAAGCATTAATTGAATATCTGATGATCTTACGGTATCGTAATGTTCCTTCAGATATAAGTAATTCTTGTTGTTTAACATTATTTTATAATAAACAAAATTTATTAAAATAATGTTGAATATAAATGTAATATAATCCGTCAAATTTATATTATTAATATTAACGCAAGTTAATATGAAAGTTGTTTTCACTAACTTATCTAATTCCAACACTTCTAAAATTTACACTGAGAAAAAAGTGAGGTCAAAACTACCACAATATGGTAAAATTTACGGTGTTTCTGACTCCATGAGAGTATCAAAATGGTAGGAAATTTTTATCAAAACGCTTTAGTAATTATTTTACTAAATTTAACAATAAAGCATGGTTGTATAATCTGTGATGAAATTTGGTAATTTGAACATGATTCCTTGGGCATAAAAATAATTTGTTCAGTTAAGTTTACTTTTTAATTTTGTCTTTTTTCCTATGAGATATGCTGTAATAATAACTATAATTTTGGAAACCAAAATTCTAGGTAAACAGTTACCTCATAAATGGAGAAATTACTAAATAAAGGGTTTAAATATTGATTTTTATTACCAGAATTATGCTTCTATTTTTACCAGAAATGTCATTACAATAAAGTACGTTAATTTTAAGAGATTTTTTTTTTCTCCATGTATGACAAATACTGACACATGATTATTATCCTATATTTTCAAAAATTAAAACAGACTATTTGACAACGTTTTAATAGATATCCTTCTAATAGTAATTTTTCGGAAAAATAATTTCTTTTTTTTTCTCTGTGAAAATAAAACATATTACCAACAAAAATAAAAATAAAAGCTATAAGTATATGGTGTAGGTTATAGAGCATTTTAGATTTATACTTTCTCACTATGAAATTCAGTTGATTGCATAAATTTTGAATTTGAATTCATTTTACAGAAACAAAATCTAAATATTTTTTTCTATGTATTTTTAAACATTAGATGTAAATTACTTAATTCATAGTCAAGTCAATACTTATCTATCCTATATATCTTTTCATGGTTCTAAAATTTCAATGTATAAAATATCAAATTGCAAATTTATATTTAAATTGTCGCGAAATTGTCCAAGAAAAAAAAATATTATTCTTTGAATATGAAAATGTTTTAAAAAACATTTTTTTCCTAAATAATTGTAGATATTAAATATATAAATCTTATTTGCAACAAAAATTTTGAAATATTTTTAATGATCCGGAAATTAAATATAAATATATTAAATTTCTGTTTCACCCTGAAAAAAAAAGCATAATCAAAACTACCAAAAATGTGTTAAAATTTGGCGTGTTTTTGGGTCTATGGAAACACTAAAAATTAAATATGGTTTTATAATATGCGATAAAAATTTTAAAAAAGTAGAAAATTTGGTATTTTTATCTTGATACCTTAAACCATGGCATAAAAATATTTTTCAGTTTTGTATTTTTTACCAAATGTGTGGTAATAAGAACTATAATTTTGAAAACCAGAATTGCAGTTAAACTGTTACATACGAACGAAAAAATTACGAAGTGAATTGTTTAAATGCAGCCAGATTTATTTGCCATTATTTGCCAGAATTATATTTACTAAAAATATCATGCCACACAGTACGGTAATTTTACAGAATTTTTTTCTTCATGCAGATTTGAATGACTTTTTATTAACATTAGAATATAACGCAATAAATAGCGTATATTTTGGTCTTATTTGCCAAAATTACGTTTACCATTAATGTCACTGCCACGAAGTACGGTAATTTTAACAGAATTTTTTTCTCCGTATAGATTTGAAAATATGAAAAATATAACGCAATTTACCATACGAAAGAAAAGATTTCCAAATAAATTGTTTAAATGCCGTATATTTTGATTTTATTTGTAACAATCATCTTTACCAGAAATGTCATTTCCACACTGTACGGTAATTTTATCAGCCGTGTAGATTTGAATTACTTTTTCTTAATATTAAAATATAACGCAATTTTTCCCTTGTGGTTACGAGAGTATGTCGGGTAATAGGTTATTGCAGGTCTTGAGCAAATATTTAAAATGCTTTATAAACTAAAAATATTAACGTCGTCTAGTTCAATATATCAATATTACATATATATACAAATGTAAAGCATCTTTCATTTATGTGATTTTTAATGAATAAAATGATTTAAAAATTATACATTTTTGATTAAAAACAGTGCCGTATTTTTAAATTTCGCATTGAGAAATTACTGCAAATATCTAAGCATTTGAGAGTCATTTCATAAGCATTTCAAACTTCTTTTTTTTTTTNCAATAATAATAGAGCAGGCTTTCCGCTTTTTTAAGATGAAGTGGGATAATAACTTAACTTTGTACAAATGATAAGAAGTCTGGAAGCATTAATTGAATATCTGATAATCTTACGTTATTGTAATGTTCCTTCAGATATAAGTAATTCTTGTTGTTTAACTTTATTTTATAATAAACTAAATTTATAATATTACTGCTGAATATAAGTGTAATATAATCTGTCAAATTTATATTATTAATAGTAACGCAAGTTAATATGAAAGTTGTTTTCACAAACTTATTTAATTCCTACACTTCTAAAATTTACACTGAGGAAAAAGTGAGGTCAAAACTACCAGAATATGGTAAATTTCACTATTTTTTTTTACTCCATGAGAGTATCAAAATGCTGGGAAATTTTTATCAAAACACTTTGGTAATTATTTTACTAAATTTAACAATAAAACATGGTTGTATAATATGTAATGAAATTTGGTAATTTGAACATGGTTCCTTAGGCACAATAATAATTTGTTCAGTGAAGTTTACTTTTTAATTTACTTTTTAATTTAAAGATGTGCAGCAATAATAACTATAATTTTGAAAATCAAAATTCTAGGTAAACCGTTACCCCATGACCGGAGAAAATACTAAATGAATTGTTTAAATACTGTATATTTTAATGTTTATTACCAGAATTATGCTTCTTTTTTTTTACCAGAAATGTCAGTACAATAAAGTACGTTAATTTTAAGAGAATTTTATTTCTCCCTGCATAACAAATACTGACAAATGTTTTTAAATTTTAAAACAGAATATTTGACAACGGTTTACCTTCTAATAGTAATTTTTCAAAAAAAAATTCTTTTTTTTTTTGTAAAAATAAAAATATTTCCAGCAAAAATAAAAATAAAAGCTATACGTATATGGTGTTGGTCACAGAGTCTTTTACATTTGTACTTTCTCACTATGAAATTCAGTTGATCGCATAAATTTTGAATTTAGATAAATTTTACAGAAACAATATCTAAATAATTTTTTCAATATATTTTTAAACATTAGATGTAAATTACTTAATTCATAGTCAAGTCAATACTTATCTATCCTATATATCTCTTAATGGTTCTAAAATTTCAATGTATAAAATATCAAATTTGCAAATTTACGTTTAAATTGTCACTTTATCAAAAGAAAAAAAATATTATTCTTTGAATAGGAAAAATCTTTTCAAAAACATTTTTTTCCTAAATATTTGTAGACATTAAATGTATAAATCTTATTTGCAACAAAAATTTTGAAATATTTTTAATGAACCGGAAATTAAATATAAATATATCAAATTTCCATTTTACACTGAGCAAAAAGAAGCATAATCAAAACTACCAAAATGTGTCGAAATTTGGCTTGTTTTGGGGTCTAAAGAAGCACTAAACAGCTTCGTAGTTTTTACCAAAGGGTTTTGATAAAGATTTTGGTAAAATTAAAAATTAAATATAGTTTTATAATATGCGATAAAAATTTTAAAAAAGTAGAAAATTTGATATTTTTATCTTGATACCTCAAACCATGTCATAAAAAAACATTTTTGGTTAAATTTACTTTTCAGTTTTGTATTTTTTACCAAATGTGTGGTAATAAGAGCTATAATTTTGAAAACCCGAATTTATTCTAAACTGTTTCATACGAACGAAAAAATAAACCAAATGAATTGTTTAAATGCAGCATATTTTGGTTTTATTTGCCAGAATTATATTTACCAAAATATCATTGCCACATAGTACGGTAATTTTACAGAATTTTTTTCTTCGTGAAGATTTGAATTACTTCTTATTAACATTAAAAATATAACGAAATAAATAGCGTATATTTTGGTTTTATTTGCCAAAATTATGTTTACCAGAAATGTCACTGCCGCACAGTAAGGTAATTTTACCAGATTTTTTTTCTCCGTATAGATTTGAGAATATTAAAAATATAACGCAATTTACCATACGAAGGAAAAGATTACCAAATGAATTGTTTAAATGCCGTATATTTTGATTTTATTTGTAAGAAATGCCATTACCACACAGTACGGTAGTTTTATTAGCCGTGTAGATTTGAATTACTTTTTCTTAATATTAAAATATAATGCAATTTTCCCCTCTTGGTTACGAGAGTATGTCGGGTAATAGTCGGGTAGCAGGTCTTGTGCAAATATTTAAAATGCTTTATAAACTAAAAATATTAACGTCGTATAGTTTAATATATCAATATTATATAAGTACAAATGTAAAGAATCTTTAATTTATGTGATTTTAAATGTATAAAATGAATAAAAAATAATAAATTATTAGATTAAAAACAGAGCTGTTTTTTTAAATTTTGCATTGAAAAATTACTGCAAATATATATGCATTTAAGAGTCATTTCACAAGCATTTCAAACTTGTTTTTTTTTTTTTAAAAAAAAAAGAAGAAGCAAAAACACAAAAAATAAAAATTTAAAAAAAATCAGACATGCTTCTGTTCTAATACAAAAAAATGTCAACAAATTAAAACTTCCTTCTATCTGGTTGTATCATATTACTGCCGCTCTTTTTTTTTTCTCTGTAAACTTTATGACGCAAAGTTAATGAACGAACTTCTTTGTGACAAATTATGAAAATACATTGCGTAAGTCAGACAGAAAAGAAATACTCACAGCTAAACATAATTCTACTACACAAAGCCAACATATAAGCCATATCCAGAACCTGAAAATGTAATAAGCATTTATTATTAAAAATAATTTAAAATTTATAAAATTGAAGCAACTGAAAAAAATTATTTTATTGGATTTGAATCATTGTTTATTAAATTAGTTACATTTATTTAAGAACCTGACATAGAATATCCTGTATCACAGTTCTCCTGAAACATGCTTACTCGTGGGATATATATTAGCGTATTTGAACCAAGTAGTAGTTTAGCAGTTTAATAAAATATATTTTACAGTTTCACTTTCACAATAAATTTCTAAAATTTAAAAAAAACGTTATTTAAATTTTATAATTTGCTCATTTTTTCTTACTTGTATATTTTGGAAAAAAAAGGAGTTTTTTATTTAATGAAGATATTAAAATAAACATTTTTTTTCCGGAAAAAAAAATACAAAATAATGAAAACGTAAAGGCATTAAGTATCAACTTATAGGTTTCCATATTTATTTTATTTATCTGGCAAAATTTTACTTTATAGAAAGAAATATGCAGTTTCTATAAGCTATAAAAATTAAGAAAAATTTTACTGAAATAAATGCTCACCATCGTCATTATAATGAATTTTAAATAAAACAATATTGTACTAAAAGATAACAGACGTGTGTGTTAAAACAATTAAATTATAATCATCAAATTCCACAAATGTTTACTATCAAATTTAAGGATGTACTTATACATTAATATAGATTAGACATGTATCACATGATCGCGCCTTTTAAATAAAATCACTTTATAAATTTTGAAACATATGAATACGACTTAAACGATAAAAAAATTTAAAAGCATAAATGTTATAACATAAATTTTGCTCTCGTTGGCATTAACAAAATTATATTCAAAATGTTAATTCAATTCAGTCGTTCCTTCAATTAAATATTTATATTTCTTTTAATTAATTCACAAATATTTTTCTAAGATAGATGAGTTTTCATCCTTGAGGTTCTAAACTCAAGAAGATATATTCTATTGTATTTCTTTTAGCACACTTTCAATGAAGAAGAAACTTTCGACTCGTCTTATAGTTAGCGTTCGTAAAAAGTAACTAAATAAATGAGTCATTCCAGCATTTGGATTGAGTCTATTTTTGATTAAGTCAGCTGTATCTTTTTAAATCAAGAGAAACAGGGGAATTGTCTGTTGATGATATCAAGAGAGATTTGGTAAATTCTTACAATTTTGTTGAGTGATTTTTAATTCATATTTTTATAGTTTTTTGAATTTGAAGCATCATACTTATGCCCGTTCTATTTTTATTACAAGAAATGAAAAAAGTAATCAGGATTTTAAACTTGGGATTTCAAAGAAACCAAAGAATTGATTCAATTTCAATTAAATATTGAAAAAGGGAGACTGATAATAATGATAATTGTTACTCTAAAAAAGGAATAATTATAAATGTACTTTTGTAGCAAGGTGGAGTTTCTCAGAAAATCTCACCAACAACAATAAAGATGTTGCTATTTTAGCAAACAATTTTAAATGTTTATCACACAGTTGATGATACATTTAAATAAGTTTTCTTTATTCATAACATCATAATTATCATCGAAATGTCCTCTTTCCTCCAATTTAAGATTATTTTTTAATGTAACTACTATTTAATTACTAACATTATTATTGAAAATACATATATTATTTTACTCACAATTATAAAATTTTTATTGCGAAACTTGAAATTTAAAAAAATAAACGAAGATTATATTCAATAAGATAGAAAAGAAAAATGGTAATAATATAAAAAAAATATGCAGAAAGATCCAGTTTTCATCGAAAACTTAATTTCCCATTCATAAAGAATACATTATATAATTACCTTGATTATTTTATCAAAATATGTTAAATATATTTACTACTCTTGTAAAATAAAAGCGTAGTCCATGTTCTTGCTTTATGTACTGCTAAGATAACAAAAATTAAAGTCATAACTAACTAAACTTCATAAACTAACTTCAAAAAAATTTATAAAAATGAAAATCGGAAAATTACACTCGAGAAAGATGTTGAACAATAAAACGATTTTATGATTACAACAGATAAAATTTATTTGTTTTGAACTTATTAAACTAAACAAGCAAAATATACCAATAATGAAGAATTATTGAAACATTGCGACTTAAAAGATTTAAAAGAGTTGAGACAATCTCATCTCTAAACGTTAAATTCAGATGAAATTAAAAGTCACTTATGAAAAATAAACGAAAAAAAGAAATCTTATTTATATTTCAAATCTCAACGGAAAGAAAAATTCAATTAAAAAACTGCCTTTTAAAAAATTTGTCTAATTAACATACCTAGCTTAGACAACATATTAGAAGCATGTCAAAACTAGCTTACAGCTTACATACATTATAAACTATCACTATAATAAAATTTTTCGTCTGCTTCTAAGATTTTTGACTTATTAGAGTTTAGCCAAAACCAAAGTTAGAAACTGATAAATTTTTAACAGTTGTAGAAGATCGTCATTTATAAAATCCTTCGCTCAAATTTCGTGTTCTCTATAACGTCTCTATAATGTACTGTCAGAAAATTAAGAAGAAATAATATAGTTTTTGAAATAAAAAAACTTTTATTCATAGTCTTTGCAATATTCAAAAGCTTTGACATATTTGTAGTAGAAAATATTTATGAAAAGGTGATAATTCTTAACTATTACGAACGATCAGTTTCCAGAGATATGTAAGAATTTTTACTTTAAAATATTTCTTATTAATTTTTATTAAATATTAATTTTTAGTCATATTCTCTTTACATGTTTTTTATGCATAAGGGGGTGTATTCTAATCTGTTACAATCTCTTAAAATACAGACAATAATATATTTTCTAAGGTTTTTTCAGTTTATTGCATTATTTAAAAGTTTTATCAATTATTCTAATTAATATGTTATGAATTGGAAAGAAATGAGCTTTTTCTATGACATATGTTATATTGAGACATGTATTTTCATTCAAAAAAAATTTCTTTCTCTTTTCTGAAACAGTTAACTTATGCGCCCTGTGCCTAAACTAAATTCCTTAGTTTAAATAATTTTTATTTAAGTTTTCAATGTATTAAAAACATAATAATTTACAAGTTATATTCCCTTACCTCTAAATCATAGAGGAATACAATATCAACATCATCGAATTAAGAATATGCCTCCAGGAAAACATGATATTATTATCCACCATTCTTGCTGCAATAAATGCTACAAGAAATTATGTGTTCTGCATGCTCATGTTTGCACTATGCATTGTTATTTTAATTAAAAATAAATATTTGTACTTTAAAATATTTTATTTTTACTCGTATACTTTTATATGTTTTTTTTTATGTGCGAGAGGATGTGTTTTAATCTACTACAATCTTTTAAAATACAGGAAATATAATGTATTCTAAATCTGTTTCAGTTTAATATATTATTATGAAAGTTTTATCTATTATTCCAATTTATATGGTATGAATTTGAAAGAAATGAGCTTGCTCTATGATATATCTAACTTTGAAGCGTTATTTCAGCTCAAAAGGTTTCTTTCTTTAATAATAATTAGCAAAATAATTTTAATAATTATTAAATAATAATTAAAACATTATAATTATAATAATAATGATTAAAACTTAATAATTGTAATAATAATAATTAAAACATGATAATTTTCAAGCTATATTTTCCTACCTCTATAGAATACCAGCAACATCGAATTAAGAACATGTTTTTAAGACAACATGGCATTATTTTCCACCAATCTAATTGCAATAAATATTATAGGAAGTTATGTTCGTGCATTGCAATTATAAATGGATAGTTTTTTTAAAGTTTGATTTAAACCATAATTAAATTATTTGATTTTTTAGTATGTGCCTTATAAATCAATAAATATTTCTGTTTATAGCATAAAATTGAATCAAATAAAACTGTCCCAATGTAAAACACCTTGTGTCCCAAGTCACAAATTTTTATTTTTATTTATTTGCGTTTATACAAAGATATTTCAGAAAAAAAGTTTGAGTATTAAAGCTGGTTTTAGATTATAAATCTGACTATAATTTACGAAGCAAAAATATAAGATGTAAAAAGTCTCCCACTCTCCCCTACTGCTTGACGTTTGTTGCAGCCTCTTGCAGCTAATTTTCGAAGGAAAAAATTACCTTTAGGGTAAATATGAAATAAGAGTAGACAAAAGTTAAAAAGTCATGTCCTTACTTAGTTTAACGAAGAAAACAATTTAGATTCTTTCTTGAGTTAAGTTAATTTACGCTGGATTCTTTCAGTTCCTATATACATTTTCTTACGTTTCATGAATGATGGCTGTTTTGAATTTAATGTAATATGTGGAGACGGGGTAGAAGAGAATTTTTCACGAGTTGAAAAATTTTGCTCTAATAATAGGTGAACAGAAAAATTATCATAATTCTTTGATCTTACAAAAATTATTTAGATAAAATTTTATGAAAAAAATTTTACTCAAATATATATTAAAACAATTACTTAAACTATAACTTAACACAAAATTAATGAAGCATGAAATTATTGCAACTATAGAAATATCGATAGGAATAAATAAGTTTTTAATAAATTATTTATTTACTTAATTTTTTCAAACACGTCTAATGAACCGAAATTCCGAAACAAAAGTTATTTAGATAAGTTGAAAAGTTAATTAAAAAGATATGGCAAGTGAATTGAATTTATCTTTTAACGTAACAGATTTTCTTGTTCAAAACATTTTTTGACACTTATATGTATTGATCCATTGATAATTTATTGATCTACTGAGCCGTTATATGATCAGTCTTTATACCATCAGTTGTTAGGTTGCTCTGGTAGTGCTAAATGAGGAATCAACTTGATATCTTTTAAAACCATCATGTGAGTTATCACGTGAGAGTGGATAATTTTTAAAATTTCGAAATGTAAAAAAATCTGCGAAAAGTTTGAAAAAATTGTAATTCCCGGCGTGTGTAATATAATTTCCTAAGGCTTACAAATTAATTTTAAAAACGAAAGTGTAAAAACATTTTTTATCACTATTGTAAAGAATACAGTTACTCCAAAAAAAAAAGCTGAAATCGAATGAATAATTTTCAAGATTTCCAATTATTAAAGAGAAAAATAACGTTTTCTAGAAAAATGTGTTTAAAGTTTCTGCTGCATCAAAAACAAGATTTTTATTATGTTCAATGCAAATTGCAGTTAAATTCAAATTCAGGGTCAAAATTGACACAACTGACCAGTTGACATAAACGAGCTTTATGTATTCATTTGTTAATTTCTTTTTATGTAGATACAACTATAAGTTACGAAAATTGTATGTTTTTTTTTTCTTATAAGCATTCTTCAACAGAAGACACATGTGTGGAGTTTCATTCTACTCATTATAAAATGATTTTGAGACACAAATCATGCTTAAAAATAGTTATAACCCTCTGAATGCTTATTTGTACAAAAAAATATCGAAATAAAATTTTATGTATGAGGAAAAATGTTAGGAAGGAAAGAATATAACTGAAGTAGTAGACCTATTTAAGTCCATTTGGAATATAACTGAAATTAAATATGTTTTTAATATTATTTTAGTTTAAGACTTGATGTAAAGGATGAAACAAATACTGAATATTTTATTTTATGTGCTTCTTTTCTGTAAAAGCATATGCAAATTGCCCTTACACATTTTTAGGGTATCCGACTAGTTTCGACAGCTTTTTTTAAAAATATCAATATAACATTTTAAAAAAAACTAGTTTATTTGTTTTATTATGTGACAAAACTTGTAAAACTAGGGGAAAAAAATTATTATTTCCTTAAATAGCCATTGATGATGTAAAACAATTTACATCATAAATGTTTTACATTTTATAAAGTTTATATATAAGTTTCATATAAAATATTATTGTAAATTTTAAAATAATAAATAACACATTGTAAAATTAAAAGTCTTAAAATTAAAGAATATTGAATCATTTCTTGATGGCAAACTTCATAGAAATAAAAAAATTCTATTTTCTTCTGCTTTAAAATGTTAAAAAATTTTGATGAAATAAAACAAATTTTGATTTTTTTTCCTTTTAGAATTATAGTTTGTAACTAATTAACTTTAATCATAAATAAACAGTTTTATTTCAAAAGAAAAAAGTTTTTATTTAAATTAGCAATTGTTAAAAGCTATCCCTAAATTTAATACCCTTTTAACATATTCTATAAAGTTTACTTAATTTAAAAAAGTTATTAAACATTCTTGTAAGAAAGGTAAGAAATTTTTACGATTTGGGAAGAGCATAAAAATAAAGGAACATAACAAGGCATCACAAATTGAAAGCACACATCTGTGCTTTTAATTTATAGATTAATTTATAATTCAAAATATTATTAATTTAGTTCTGTTATTTAAAATTACAAACCTTTTATAAAGGTCTCATTTTATGTTATTTTTAAAGATTCCAGATCCGCATGTAAAAATTTTAGTTCTAGTTGTAATTTAAGCAGAAACGACTATTTTACATTAAAGTAGTTAAGCATAAAAAATCACATCAATTAAACACTAAGAAAAAGAATTGAACTTAAACTAAATTGTAAAAATGTAAAAAAAAAATTATGTAAGACAAATAAAACTACTCAATTATCACTCCTTAATATAATTAAATAAATCCTTAGTTTTAAATTAAGAAGTAGTTGAACTTTAAAGTTTTTCTACTTTCAGAAAACACTTATTTTAAATTCAGTTTTTTGCTAAATAAAGTCTATAAAAAAGAATAATAAAATTTGAAAGAAACTCCTTAGGAATAATAAATTAAACTAACAAGAAGTTTTATTTAATAAAATAAAAATAAAAAAATAAATAGAGGCTTTTAAAAGAAGGTTGCAATTTATTTTTCTTAAGTAATTTTGTGTTATTCAGTCTATCAGATAAATAATTAATATTCAATAAAATTGGTATAATTTAATTATTTAACTGTAAAATCTGAATTATAATATTAAATCAATAAATATACAATATTTCTATATAATTTTATTTTTGGAAATATACTTTTAAAAGTTAATGATAATTCCGGATTAATCCATAGTTTTCTCCAATTAAGAATTTACTTTTAAATTGTTATATAAAACAAGAAGAAATTTAAAGAACTTCAAGAGTATTCAAAAACTTTCTCCTGTCGACTGTGGGATGAGCGAAGGATCAAAAATAGGGGGAGGAAAAAAGAAAAATAAACATTCCACTTACCGAGACCCCGGAGAAACCGGTTTACCAAACCCGGACCGTTTGTCAGGCCCGCTCAGCTCCATACTACGAGACGAATACGAGACACTACATGAATAATAATTTTACTAATTAGACCATATTGACTAATTTGATAGTTATCCTATAAGAGCTGAAAGATGAAATCTACTCCGATCGTCTGCTAGTATCTTCCGGAAATGTGAAAAGAATCTTACGGAATCGACCGCCTCACTCACGGGTTAGTGTGTATCCTTGGGCGGATCTTTTTGCCGTGACGAGAGGTGGATTATATTTCGCTCGCTACTCCATGAATGGGCGAATTTTTTGAAGATTTTTATTTGTTTCTTTTTATGTTCCTCGTTATCAGATTTTTTTTCTCCATCTTTTCTCATAGTACTGACAGAGACGCTTTTCGAAGAACTTTTGATGAGGGATTATAGACATTTTTGTAAGTCGGGAATGCTTCAGGATTTTTTTTAATATTTTTTTTTATTCCAACTTAGGAATTAAAAGGAGAGAAAAAAATTATTCCAATTATCAAAATTAGAGTTTGTTTATTTTGGAAAATATTCTTCTAACACCCTTTTTTTTTCTTCCTAGATTCATTATTTTTTTTGTGATTATGAAATGAAAAAAGAAAAAATTACAAACCATTAATAAAAATTGTAATCAAGTTCTGAAAAGTAAAAACATATTGTTTTATGAACCCTTAAAGGTGTATAACATAAAACCTTTAAAAAAATATAGAGAAGATTATTATTCTCTCGCTATTTTATATGTATATATATATATAATTGTTTACGGATATCGTAACGTCCTCAATACCATATTCAAAATAATTTTAAAGAATTATAGGATCAAAAATTTCTTAAAAAAATTAATTTGATAAAGAAAACGCCTTTCCCGCCTTTCTTGCATGAATAGTTTTTCAAAAATCGTGATATTTACAGACAAAAAAAATTCATTCTGATAAAATAAAAAATCTTATTCTTAAAGTGAAAGTATGAAAGAACATAATAAAAAATAAAATATAAATTTGAAGCGAACCAAAGTTTTTTTTTCTTTTTTACTGGACAGTTAAATGCTTAGGTTCACTCATACAACAGGTACTTTCTTTTATGCAATACATACACACATCACCTAACGATAATGACAACAACCTAACCCCGTTTTTACCCATATCTCATTAATATCTATTTTTAAACATTTTTGATCATTGCAGCTAAATACTTCTATTTTTTCTCTCAAAACTTTGACTACGTTTTATAGATGAACGCAATAATTAAATCAAATGGTCTTTTAAAATCATAATTTTCATCAAATGTAAAAAAAAAAAAAAAAAAAAAAAAAAAAAAAAAAAAAAAAATTTACTGAATCTTATTAATATACTTTTCAACTTATTTATGTAATGTATTATGATTATTATTTTACTATGTTATTTGAAATCATTATCCAATGAAATTCAACAAAAACAGTCTCTTTTTAATGATTAATATTTATAATATTCTCGCTTTAATGAGTAATAATATAGTGATCATTTGTTATAATGAGCTCATTCGTAATATTTCAAAGAGGTCGTTTTAACGCGAGTCATCTGCACATGCGTCTGCATAAGGTATAATCTTAACTGCTTAGATTCATTTCAACAGTATAATTGTGATTGAAAAAAGGACTAAAAATTTCATAATTTCTTTTAACTTATAACTTATAATTAAAAAAAATATTAACTTTCTTTAAGAAATTATAATGTATGTTTTCTTATTCGAAATGAACAATATAACGCAACTAACAAAGTCAACTCAAACACGTTTATGTAGGAACAGTAAAAGCTGTTTTAATCTCACTTTTTCTCCCCTAAAGTTTTACACGTAACTGGGTTACTGGACTTCATTACCAAATATGCCCACTTATGAAGTGTTTCAATGTTATTTATGCTAGTTAAAAGTCGTACGTCTAAACAATAAAAGGTTTTTAAAAAACGTGTGGAAATAAATAAGGAAAAAAAAGTATTGTTATATGTATAGGAGTAAAATCTATCGCTTTTTCGTAATTATTATATTTTTTCACAGTTTGTTGTAGGAGAAAATTTTTTTTGTGTCTAAAATAACGTTCTATTAACGTAACCAAATGATGTAATAAGACTAGATCTCTTATTACTATATAACAATTTTGTGGAACTCAGAGTTAAGTATAGTGAGGATCAATTGTTGTATAAAGGGATCGGATATCGTTTAGTAGGTCTAGACAATGTCTATTTTAATGAAGTTAATTTTATTATAACTATTACATAACATCGAGGATGCTACAAAAATGTTTACTTTTGACTGAAAGAGAATTAATTTAAAATTACTAATTATATCGATATTTTTTTAAAAAATTTCATTTTTTGCGAAAATCAGGTAGCGCAAAGTTGAATTTATAATAAATGTATATAAAACCAGGGTAAAGCATTAAAAGCTAATACTAACTATATACCAATACACTAAAATATAATAATATACAAAATAAAGGCTAATCTATTATAAATAATTGAATATACAAAATTTAAACTTTCTGATGTGATGAATAACTTTTCCTATGTCGTATTTTATTTTTCTGTTTCGTGTTCGAAAATTACTGACTATGGCTGCATTATAGTGGCCAAATCAATCATTTTTATTTGTTTTGGCGTAGCCAGGGACTATTATTATTGTTGCTAGTAATAACAGTGGTCAAACAACATTTATATGTGTTTTGACCGCTATTATGTGATTTTATACGGTAATTCTTTCAAAAATTCAAATGTATTTTTTTCTTTTTATTACTTTTAGGGTGTATTTTAAAAAAAACCATTTATATTCATATTTCATGCATTTTTACTTCCTTTTTTTTACAAATGGGATATGAAAATAAATAAGCTATTTGCTCAAAGCATAAAGTTATTAAAAAGCAATTAAAGTAAAAATTTATCAGTAAAAGATTTTTCAAACGTAAAAGGAAATGTTTTTGTAGTAATCAACTCATATGCGTTTGTCAATAGATACTGGTTAGATTAGGTGTTTCCTCATCATTGATAATTAAGATAAAAATATTTTTCCCAATAATTACTGTCTTTTTTAAGCAAATATTTCGGTAAAATATTCATAAGGGATATAGACTTCTGATCATTAGTTCAAATATACTATTCTTTTATTACCCATCAAAAGCATGCTAAATACAGTGTTTCAATTCACGCGGTTGTTGCATTTAAAACTACTTACGATAAAAGTTATTAATTTTGATTGAGAAAAGATTTTGATTGAGTATGATCAAAACTAGCAGAGTATGGTAAAATTTGTCGCTTTTCTGTATCTATGGGAACATTAAAAATCTCGGTAGCTTTTATCGAAGCGCTTTGGTAATGATTTTAGAAGAATTAATATTAAAATAGGGTCTTGCGATATAAGATAAAATTGAGACAACGGTGGTAAGCTTAGGTAATGTTACCTTGGTACCTTAGAGCTGTGTTTCCAAACACCGGGCTGGCCGGCCGGTAACGGTTCTTGGGTCAAATTGGACTGAGCCACCCAAGAAAAATTAAATTATTTGGTATACTCCTGTTTGTACGACCTTTCATGGACGAGAGGGTTTACCGGGAGCTGAAAGCCGCCTCAATATCATGCACGTAATTGCATTTGATTTTGAATGCATGTTTCAGTACAATTGAATTAAAACTATTAAAATAACGCAATCTGAATTATAAACAATCAACGTCCCTCCCCCCTCAGCAGGCCGCTGTACAATTGTCAAACTTTGTCCGGTCCACGGCGATGAAAAGGTTTCGATGCACTGCCTTAGTTCATGACGTAAAAAACATTAATTTGATTAAATTTATTTTTTAGATTTGCTTTTTGTTAGTGTTGTTTGTATTTTTACTAGATGTGTGGGGAAGATTTTGAAAATTTTCTTAGAAGATTATGATTAGAAGAATTATGATTTTGAAAATTTCCAGAATTTCTAGTAAACCGTTACTATATGAACGAAAAATTAACAAATGAATAATTTCAATACTGTATATTTCTGTTTTTATACTAGAATTTTTTTATTTTTCTTGCCAGAAATGTAATTGCACTTCAGCACAGTAATTTCACCAGAATTTTTTTTCACTTTGTGATAAGCAATATTCATTATCTTTTTTTAAAGTACTGTTTGCTATACTTTTGTATCATACACTGACCTTACAAAAAGGGGTAAAAAAATTTTTTTTTCAGCCCGCTGCCCCAAAACAAAAATTCTAGAGCAAAGTTTTGTTCAAAATATTATTTCAGACATCTAGCTTCATTAAAAACTTTCATAATTGAAAAGAATACCCAAAGAAAATATTTTTTGTTCATCAATTTTACTTATTAGATAATAATTCGTGTATCTTTATATAACATGAACTATATGTGGGCGAAATAATAATGTGTTATATTGGAAAAAATTTTATTAAAATATTAATTTATATTTTAGTTTTGTGATAGATATTACATAATGTTATTATTATTATATTTTTAATTTTCTTGTTCACAAACTATTTTTATATGCAGTGATATATGTTAAAAAATGTATAATGCAAAAAATTTCGTATGACTCTTTTTTAAAAAAAAATAAAGTAATATCCTAAAATTAATGATATATGCAAGTATTACTATAGTTTTAAATTTTTATTCATTACAATCAAACAAAATATAAATGTCTTCTATAATAAAGATTTTTAAAAAAAGTTAAAAATGTGCTCAAAGGAGCTTTTTTTTCCTTCTTTGCTTTTCCTTTTTTCCTCTTTTTAATTAATATATTTTTGACTCATACTCAGAGAAATACTAGTTTTCCTACAGTTTGCTAAGTATTCTATGGTACGTAATATGCAGTGTGTTTAAATTTTAATCAAAAATTTAAATATTTTAAACAAGTAATTTATATTATATTGATACCGTCATTTCAGTTATTATTTATTGTTTCTTTACTGATAAAATACTACAACTGGTATAGTCCATCAGTCTATCCGCGTCGCATCTTCCTTAAGAACCTGTCACTCAAAATAATCTATGAATAACATCAATGCCTTTAAAATATTCCTGCAGTCCTAAATAACAATAGTACCAGATAACTGATTTTTACATTCTCCATTTACGATGTTAAATATTTGTTCTTCAAAATAAGATAAGGTTTCAATCATTAAAATCTTTTACCTGGAGTTCTCATTTCTCAAAGCTATTGTATTATGAACAACGATTATAATTCTTATAGTAAGGTAAATCAAAAGGCATTGTTTTTAACATTTAAACTTTTCTAAAAATATTTAAA